AGACATGCACAAATCAACATAGGAAACACTAAGATATTAGGTTGGAGATCAAGTATGGCTATCTACATGAAATATTAGGACTTAGAGCCATTGAAGAAACTCGATCACAAGCAAGTTGGTCTGTATAAGATTCTCGAACGAATTAGGCAAGTGGCATACCGATTAGAACTACTACTAAGCATGAAGATACATCCTGTCTTTCACAGCAACCTCTTAAGACTTGATTCGAATGATGCATTAAGTGGCTAACACTAGGAACCATCATCTATAGTCATTGTAGATGGTGAACTCGAATGGGAAGTTGAGGAAATTCTAGATTCAAAGCACTTAAGAAAAAAGTTATTTTACATAGTAGCATAGAAGAATCACCCGCCTAACAACACATGGTATCTAGCTACAAATTTCGAACATGCACTAGAGATCACGTAAGCATTGTATCAGAAATACCCTAAAAAACCAAAGTAACTGAATTTTAAAATTTTCTACTCTTAAGAGTAGACAAGAGCCTGAAGGTGGGGTTTGAACAGCCACGAACATGAGCTGTAAGACTGTGTAGTATATGTAGATCGACTGTACATAATGCTCGAACATGCCCTCAACGAGTATAATTAATCCGAGTCAATTTCAAGAGCTAATGTATTGAATTATGTGGAGTGGTGGGGTGGAAAACCCAGCTCGCTTGCAAACACAGCTCGCATGCCGACTACGTTATTCATCAGGTCGATATCAAATTAGTGGCTAGATTCCATCGGCTTAGCGGGACTCGACTGTATACTTAATTACAGTTGGTCCCTGATTGGTCTCAGTCCCCCGATCCCCGAAACGCGACCCGAAACGCGAGGCGCAGCTCGAGATAGTTGACACCTGAATTCCTGAATTCTCACATCTGTTAAGAAAACCCCCTCTATGTACTCTCTACCCCTCTCTCTCACTCTCTTTCTCTCTCACCCTCTCTCACCCTCTCTCACTCCCTTACGTCTACCTCCCCATCACTTCCATACCTACATACAACACAGCTGGCATCTAACTGCAGCTCCATGACTGGCTTCTATCCGCTGTTTACCCCTCGATCCCAACAATACCTAACCAGCTATCCACCTCAACATGCCTTCCTTCCACTTCCCAAACCTGGCCATCGCCGTCGCTCTGCTTGTCCTTTTCGCTCGTCCCGCGCATGCTTTTGGCGCAGGTAAGGTTTCCGCTGATCCATCTCCTCGAGCCATGGCCTAACAGATGCAGGTAACATCGCTTCGACCTCAGCTATTGAGGGCACAAACTGTACGTGCCCACCACCCACCTGTCCCAACATCATCACCCTAACCATACCAGGGCGTCATGGCGATATCGAAGATACCCTCCTCCTCCTTGCCATGTCTCGCGCTGCGGGAGGCAAGAAGTTTGATAAAATGAGCGTTTCCCGTGTTTACTTTGGTAACTGGCTGAGAGATTACTGTACGTTCTTCACTCTCCCCCCTAACACACCATGTTCTAACCCATCCTGTTAGCCCAGGCTATTGATGTCGGCACCGTCAAGTACGTCTCCGCCGAGGCCATCCGCATCCTCCTCTGGGTTCTCGGTTTCATGACGTTCGGCTACGGCACCGGCGAGTTCGAAGTCACCGCTGAACGCCTTGGCTGCTACCGCCCCGAAGACCACATCGACAACCCAAAAGACTACGCCGATAATCTTGATGCTACCCAGTACGACCGCCGCCTTCGTGGCCCCGTCGACGAGCGCGCTGAACTGGCAATCGATCAGCGACGTGGCATGAAGAACTATATTGCGAGCGAGGAGATTGGAATTACCACGTCTGCTGGCCATGTCCGGAACCTATTCTCGAGATGCATTCAACTCGGACGATCCTATGGGCGCAGCAAGAACAAGGCTGAGCTGTATGAAGCTCTTCGTCTTCTCGGCACCGGACTGCACTGCTTGGAAGATTTCAGTGCTCACTCCAACTACATCGAGCTTGCCCTTATCGAGATGGGCGAGACTGACGTGTTCCCCCTGGTTGGCCGCAACACGCAGATCCGTCTTCAAGGTGCTCGCTCTACCGTGTACCCTCTCGTGACCGGCACCTTCGGCGGCGTCGACTTCCTCCACTCCGTCATGGGTGAATTCGATGACAAGGCCACCCAGAGCGAAATCCAGCAGCTCGAGGGGACCATGCAGAATGGGAAGAATGCCGACACGAGCTTCTTGAGGGATATTCTTAACAAGATCCCAAGCGGAATCTTCGGTGACAATGACGAGGCTGGAAAGGCCGAGGAGCTCCGAACCAACGCGACCACCGCCCAGATGAACCAGGTCAGCGTGTCTCCCAGAGAGCCCGAGGCCTTTACTCGCCAGATGCAAGAGTGTGTCAAGCAGATCTACCCCATCATCGAGTGGCACGACAACCTCATGAAGAAGATCTCCACTGCCATTGAGAAGATCCCCATTCTCCCAGAACTGATCGAGCAACTCGAGAACCAGGTCAACATCTTCGTCTTCAGCCTGTTGGCACCCTTCGTTCTCCCTCTGATCAACCAGATGAAGAACGAGCTTAACGAGGGCTCATCCGAGATCATCAACAGCAGCAAGGCCCAGCAGCACAACGTCTTCCAGGACGACCAGAGCTCCGACCCAACCCACTCCATGCTCTCCAAGGATCACTTCAGCAGCATCCTCAACGAGCCAGCTGGAAAGATCTCCAGCGGCGTCCTCAAATGGGCCGTCCCCCAACTCATCGCCTGCTGGGACGACGAGCGCCAAGACATCGACCGCACCTGCACCCGCATCATCGAGGGCGTCCTCCACCACCCCGCCCTACGCCACGAGGGCCAAGACGGCGCCTCCGACGGCCGCCAGCAAATGTTCAGCATCGTCGAGCAGTGGTGGAGATCCAAGGGCTCAGATGAGCAGCGCGAGCTCCGCGGTAAGCTGAGCCGCAGTGGCGTCCAGAACGGCGAGAACCACAAGGAAGGCGTCGTGGACACCGGTCACGGCTGCTGCAAGCCCATCGGCATGGCCAAGAGCTCTGCCGGCCAGGACGCCGGCCGCGGCCGCATGATCTCCGATCTTGTCGGCGCGCTCTCAGGCGGTCAGGAAGCTGCCTCCGCAGGCTCCGGCTACGGTCGCCCGACTAAATCGTCCAACTCCGAGATCGAGAAGTTTGCCTCCGAGGCAGCTGGCGGTGGAGCCATCGGCAGCATCGTCGGCGCGCTCGCGGGCGGCATCGGCGGCGGCCTCCTCAGCGACGTCTTCGGCGACAAGGAGACCAAGAAGTCCTCCCAGAGATACGAGTCCGGCGACGGAGGCGTGACGCAGTCGTACACGGAGTACGGCAGCAACTCGCACGAGACGGCGCAGGCGCAGTACTCTGAGACCACGTACCCGAGCGGGACGCAGACGTCTAAGTACGCCCGCTACGAGCAGTCGCAGTCCGGGCAGGCGTACGAGGGACACGTGCAGCGCCAGCAGCAGCGCGGGAATGAGGTTAGGACTGAGGAGTGGAGGCAGGGGCGCACGGCGGGGGGGGATGAGTATCAGACGGAGGTTAAGACGAAGGAGTATCATAGCGGGGGGCGTGGAGGGAGGAAGGACTCGGATGGTGATGAGTCGGGGGATGACTCGGATTATAAGAGTAAGAAGAGGGAGAAGAAGGAGAAGAAGGAGAGGAAGAAGAGGGAGGAGAGGGAGAGGGAGCAGGGGGGAGAGGGCTATGGTGGTGGTGGTGGTGGCTATGGCCAGGAGAGCCGCCATGAGGAGCGTAGCAGTGGATATGGGGAACAGCGCCGGGAACAGCGCCGGGAACAGCGCCAGGAGTACGGCGGTGGCGGTGGTGGTGGTGGGTACGGACAACACGAGTCTCGTCACGAGCAGCGCCAGGAATACGGTGGCGGAGGCGGCGGCTACGAAGAACCCCGTCGCGAGCAGCGCCAGGAGCAGCAGTATGGCGGTGGTGGCTACGGCCAGGAGTCTCGTCGCGAGGAGTACGGTGGTGGAGGCGGCGGTGGGTATGGACAGGAGTCCCGCCGTGAAGAGTACGGTGGTGGTGGCGGCGGATATGGACAGGAATCCCGTCGTGAGGAGTACGGTGGTGGTGGAGGCGGTGGATATGGACAGGAGTCCCGCCGTGAAGAGTACGGTGGTGGTGGTGGCGGCGGATATGGACAGGAATCCCGTCGTGAGTACGGTGGTGGTGGAGGCGGTGGATATGGCCAGGAATCCCGCCGTGAGCATCATGATGGGGGGAGGAGAAATGAGGATGAGCGTAGGGGAGAGGGGTATGGTGGTGGGGAGGAGAGGAGGAATTATGGGAGGGGTGAGGCGGGGCAGTATGGACGGGGGGATGACTATGGGAGGGGGAGAGGACGTATTAGGTTGTGATGTTTATGAGTGATGATGGGTATGGAGATTGATTGTTATTGGCGATGATGGTTATGGTGGTGATGTTGATAGTGAGAAGATTGTTATGGCAGGATGATGAAAATAAAACTCGTTGACTTTTTCTAGACCCCATTCGCCATTGACAGCAACTAACCTCATCAGTTTAATAACAAACAAACACTCCATTATTCTATATCCCTACTATTCTCACTAGCTGGTCCAAACCCACCGGGTTGCTTAATATAAACCATCATCAAAGTCCGGCGGGGGAGGGGTCGGTCGGGGATGCGGGGTAAGTGGAATAACCTTAACAGCGAGCTCATCAAAGTCCGGCGGGGGAGGGGTCGGTCGGGGATGCGATGCAAGTTTAATCTGCAGGCAAGTTAAGGATATATCCAAATATTCTTAACCATCTTACCATGGAGGCCATTAGTGGGAATTTATTTTCCCCTGCAGAGGCGGAGGTGGATCACTTATGTACTAGCAGAATGTACAGGGTGGGATTGTTCATAACTGTGAGTTATGCCGCTGCGATGGGTATAATCTCAGGACTTTTGCTCTGTAGTAGGTTCTATGAGCTCTGTGTGAGTTCGACTTCCTCCATCTCAACTTCTATCTTCTCACCGTCATGTTTTTCCTCAAAGCCATCTCCAGTGCCCTCCTCATCCTCCCAACCCTCGCCTCAACAATGGCCAAAAACTCCTCCTACACCAACCCCATCCTGCCCGGATGGCACTCCGATCCCAGCTGCATATATGTAGCTGAGGATCACAATGCCTTCTTCTGCGCCACCTCATCCTTTCTCTCCTTCCCCGGCATGCCAATCTACACCAGCAAAGACCTCGTGAACTGGCGCCTCGCAAGCCACGTCGTCTCCCGCCCCTCGCAGGTCCCCCAGATCGGACTCACCGTCTCCCAAAACGGCGGTCTCTGGGCAGTAACGCTGCGTTACCACAAGGGAAAGTTTTACGCTATAGTCTCTTATACACCTCTAGCGCCCTGGGCGGTCACAGGACCTCTTCACAACAACCAACCCCTACGACAGCAGCTCCTGGGGCGCCCCCCTCGTCTTCCCCCTCCTCGACATCGACCCAAGCATCTTCTGGGACGATGACGGAACGACCTACCTCCACTTCTCCGGCATCCACCAGCAGACCATCGACCTCACCACCGGCGCCCTCGGGCCCCCATCAATCATCCGGAAGGGCTTCACAGAGTTCATCCCAGATGGGCCACAGGTCTACAAGAAAGACGGGTACTCATGATCAGCAAAGGAGGCACCGAGCTCGGCCACCACGAAGCCATCGCCCGCTCGAAAAATATCTCAGGCCCCTACACCAGCGCCCCTTCAAACCCGATACAAACCAGAATCCTACTTCCAAACCGTCGGGCACGCAGACCTCTTCCAGGACGGGTCCGGCAACTGGTAGGGCGCTGATCTGGCGACTCGCTCAGGGCCGGAATGGACGAATTACCCTATGGGTCGCGAAACGGTGCTGTTCCCCGTAACATGGGAGGCCGACGCCTGGCCCGTCCTCTCGCCTGTCCAGGGGCACATTAGCGGCTGGCCGCTTCCGAAACGCACGCGCGATGTGCGTGGTAGCGTGGCGTTTGTGGGGGATCCGGATGTTGTTGATTTCCACCCTGGTTCCAAGATCCCGGCGCACTTCGTGCACTGTGCACTGGCGATTCCCCCTTAAGGATGCGTTTGCGGTGTCACCCAGGGGATACCTGCGTATCCGCCCGTCGGTTGCGAATCTGACGTCCGCTGCGCCAGTGACTTCGCCGCAGGAAATGAGCTTGATTATGCGGGTGCAGACGGATACGCGGTTTGTGTTTAGTGTTGATGTTGTTGATTTCTCCCCGGAGAAGGAGGGGGAGGAGGAGACGGGGGTTACAGCGTTTTTGACGCAGACGCAGCATTTGGATTTGGGGATCGTGATGCTGGATACTGGTAAGCGTGATAAGAGGGGGAAGGAGGAGTTGGGGCTGCATATGAGACTCAGGGTTACGAATGTGCCGGGTTCGGCGGTGAATTTTGGGGGGGTAGAGACGGTTGTTAGACCGTTGCCGAGGGGGTGGGAGGGGGCGCCGATTAGGCTGGGCGTTAAGGCGGTTAATGAGACGCATTATGAGTTTTTTGCGGCGTCGGTTAGGAAGCCGAGGGAGGTCGAGGTTATGGGCACAGCGCCTGCGACGATCTTGAGCGGTGGGGATGGTCCGTTCACAGGTAAGAGCGTGTATTTCCTTTCCATGAACCTACTGGAGGGGGAATGGTGTTATATTTCCACTGACGAATTCACAGGTACGCTCGTCGGAGCATATGCTACGAGTAATGGCGGCGCAGGAAAGACAGAATCATACGTCAGTAGATGGCGATACCAAGGGAAGGGCCAGGACATTGGCAATGGAGAAACAGTGCCATACACCCCCTTTGTCGTCGGTTGAGCAGAGAGAGAGAGAGAGAGAGAGAAGGCTGGCATACGACCCGCAACATCTTTACTGATCTTTTAAATCTCCAAACCCAATATATATACCATCTGACCCTGCAAAGCCTCCCATTCTAAGCCTCCCATTCTGCGTCGGCAACCACTAAATCTGATCCGTAACATACCAATCCTCGCTCCCCACCGCCGTAGGCGCATAGAAGAGGCCATACGGATCGAGTTTCTTCTTCAGCGCGTACAGGCGCGGGTACTTTTACTCGCCATAGAACGCTGTGGCATAATTAGTCCTTCATCCCCCCCTTAAAAAAAACAGTATAATGGGGACAGTAAAATGGGGACAGTATAATGGGGGAAGCAATAAAGAAACTTCCACTGCTATTATCAACGAAGTTCATCTCACAAATTCCAAACATAGAGAAAATACTCAATAAATATCTGAAATATTAAAGCCCTCACCTACTCACTCACCCCAACCCCGCTGCGCCCTCGAATACGCCACCCTCCACCCCCTCGCCTCGATCTCCAGCGCCCTCGTACCATCCCCATTAACCTTAGCCACAAACCCATCCATCGACACCCCCCAATCAAAGTCCCCCCAACATTAAACCAATCCACGCAATTCCTCACAAACGCCCCCTCCGGTATTGGCTTCCTCGTCAGCACGCTCCTAAGCCCTATCCGCGCGCCCCCCTTGCTAACCAGTCCACTGGGCGTCAACCTGATCTGGTCGCCCATGGCCAAGAACCCCTTGGCGGCATCCGTGCCGTTGATGAGAAACTGCGTGACCAGCAGCCCCGGATTCGCGTCAACGGAGATGACGAGTGTATCATTGCTCCCCGCGCACTGATACGTGCCGGCGTACATAGGTAGGGGAAGCCGATGCCGAAGTCGGGCAGGAGGACGGTCTTGGTGGAGTAGGCGCCTACGTCGCCGCCTTTGGTGTACATCCAGACGGAGCGTTCAGGGAGGGGCGCTTTGTAGTCTCCCAAGGAGCGCCGACGAGGGCGCCGTCGTTGGCGGTAAAGGTTAGAGGTTTGAGCCAGCGACGGGTCTGAGCGGGGGAGAGGGGGGTGGAGTTTCGCATCGCTTGGCCGATCTTGCGCATGTCGTTGGTGGAGCTGTAGAAGCCGCCGGCTGGAGGCCGGAGAGGACATCGACGGTGTACTGCGAGATGATTTTGAATTCTTCTGTTCATGTCCTGTGATCAATGCAAAGAAAGACATGCGGAATGACCGACGATGCGGCTTCTCTGTGATCACAGCCAGGGATATTGATAAAATCGGTGCTCAAGGCATTATTGATTCGATCAAAGATCGTGTTGGAGAAAACCGGGTGTATATTAGCGTTGACATTGATGTGCTCGACCCGGCATTCGCTCCTGGTATGTTCCAATATATTATATTTCTGGGCGTGGAAGGAGGGCTAACAGTTGAATCATAGCAACTGGAACTTCTGAACCTGGCGGATGGAGCACTCGTGAACTGCTCACGGTTTTGGATGGCCTGACGGGGCTGAAGGTCATCGGTGGTGATGTGGTCGAAGTGGCACCGGCTTATGACAATACCGGAAAGACGACCGTCCTGGCAGCCGCTGGGGTCGCCTTTTCGCTCCTGACTCTGATGGTCCAAACTCCAGATACAGATTAAATAAACAGGGCCAAAGTATAAGTGAACAGTGAGGTAAAACAAGTATATTAGATTCTCACTTTGTTTATATAAAATCACGTCAATCAAATAAACACTCAACTCTACCAACCCACATCAATACCTGTTATATGACATGTATAATATGAATCTGTTCGTAAAGAATAATATACTGTTATTGATGTATTGAGGTATGGTCAATGGTCTCGGGGTTGTCTGCTTCATCACCCCCCAACCTCAAGCTTCAAGAAAAAGGATTAAAGCTTCGAAAGTGCCCTGGCTTTGCCTCCTTTCATGTCCTGAAAGCTAGTCGATGCTAGTATTGTCAGCCACTCTCATTATTTCGTCATGATGTGCAGGTAAACAAACCCTTCCTTTGTTTGGGAAGTTGCGACCCTCTTAGCTCAGAGTAGCGTACCCTGTGACCCTCATCGTACGATATGCCTACTGCGGGCCATATCGTATCATATAAATTGCAAAAACAGCTCTCTTCTTGTTAGATCTCACCTTTTGGATGCTTCTATCACATATTGTCGAGCCAGCCGCTTCCGGTCGACTGGTAAATTGGTTGCCATGACCCGAGTATCATTTCGATATATCTTGGTCGGCGTGCCGCTGCTTTGTGTCTATCTCACGGCATATTACTTGAACATTCATAACCGTGGATTGGGAGCCCGAATTCGAAAAGTGGTAGAGGATCATGATCTGGTAGAGCCACTCGAGCTTCCGCGACATCCTCTCTTCAAGCCCAACCTGACGGAGATTGACCCGCCGGTGGTCGACAACTTTCCCCTTGCGCAAGCTGCGGCTTCAGCTCAAGAACTACCTCCAATTCCTTCTTGGAATGCTCCTCCCCGACCTCATGTCCCAGAGAAGACACCTCTTTTCATTGGATTCACTCGGAACTGGAGAATACTGCAGCAGGCAGTGGTGGCGTATATAACAGCGGGATGGCCACCTGAAGACATATATGTTATCGAAAATACTGGAACAATGGATGCCAACGAACATAGGAAACTTAGCCTCCAGAATCCGTTCTTCTTAAATCATACTCGACTGCATATGCTCGGAGTCAATATCCTCACAACACCAACTCTCCTCACCTTCTCCCAGCTGCAGAACTTCTTCTTATATGTCTCGCTCAAAGAGCACTGGCCCCAATACTTCTGGTCACACATGGACGTTGGAGTTGCTTCTTTCGAGGAAGAAGAACCTTTCGAGTCTCTGTATATGAAGGCAGTGTATGCTCTGCGGAATACAACAGTGCCTGATTATGGACGCTGGGCTCAAGTTCTGTTCTCGTACGACCGCCTTGCACTCGTTAACACAGCTGCATATACGGAGGTGGGGGCGTGGGATACGCAGATCCCATACTACCTGACTGATTGTGACATGCACGAGCGACTCGCCATGGCTGGATTCAGGGTTGACGAGAAGAAAATAGGCCAAATCAACGATGTTGGGACTTCCATCTCTGATCTTTTGTCTCTGTACCGAAAGAAAGTCGGCCCAAAGGCATCATTCGTTGATCCAAATCCTCCGGAAGCTTATGATATAGATAAAAAAGGGCCAAAAACTAAGAGAGGCAAGTCAGCAGACTCAATATGGCCTGAGTATACTCGGGGGGACGAATCGTACAAAGCTATCGTGCGCACCTTTGAGGGGATGGACCATTCGAAGTATCGCTCACCCAAGGGAAGGAATATTTGGCAGCATCGCCAGACAGGTGGCCAGGGAGAACCATATTACCGCGATCCAGTTGGTTTTGAAATAGCGCTTTGGATGACGATTGATCACGGCCGGCTGATATATGCCGAAAAATGGGGCCATAGAGATTGTAACTTGCGGGAGGTTGGGTTGAGACTGGAGCACGCATGGATGGTGGAGAAGGACTGGGAGTACAGGGAGAAGCACCCTGAGTACGTGGACCCGAAGAAGTAATACAATAAGAAGTAGTATAGAATCAACCCGGATTTACTGAAGTGCGAAAAGTTTTGAGAATCAGGCTATAAATTAAACTTTCGTGGGGAAATCTTTACTGAAACCTTTCATAAAATTGTAACTTTTCCCCTGGTGGTGTAGTCTGGATTAGGTGTAACTGGATCCGGATTTACGTTGCCAGTCATTCTTTGTTTTCTTGAAGCCCTTTATGAAAGTATGGCTATTTAAACCAATATATATACAGCTTATGGTTTTATATTTTCTTCAAACCTTTCAATGTTATATCTTTACGGACGGTGTAATTTTCTATTCAGTACTCGGACCCCTATCTACTCCGCTTGTGGCCTTGTAAGAACCGACGATAAAGACATCGTAGACAAAAAACACGCGCCAAACTGCAAAACAAACACTTTTTGAAAATGAATATAGTGGACTTTGAATTGTGAATGTAAACAAGAGCCATTAAATCAAATATCGGGATTTAATAACCAGAGGCATTCCCAAGGTGAATAGACAGTAGAAAAGAAAGGAGCCAACAAAACCGCAAGGATGGCCAGCCCTATAAAAACTCTCTAGATTCGTCTCTCAACCACAACGTAGACTGATCCTCTTCAAAACAATACCAAACTGAAATCGCCATGGACGTAGTAATGATACAAACGTACGGAAGCTTATCCACCGTTCACCGGAAGCTGACCGCGAGCAGTACCCCCGTATCCCGAGATTCCCACGGCGAGATTCTCAGCGTGTGCCGCCGTAGCAACGCCTGCCGCCGTACTGCCGCCCCTGCTCCTAACAACCCCTGCCGCCTAGTTGGTGAACACAACTCCTCGGCAACAAAGGATCGCAGCTCGAGTCCCCCCCCCCCTTTTCGAGCTAGCTCCGTTGGGTAATTTTATAAGCCAAATTCACGCAGCTTGTTTTGATTTCACCTTCCACCACCTTTGGTCAATTCCGTTTCCGACAACCACCCCTTCAACAACCTTTCTTCTTTCTTCTAGATACCATCTAGAGCTTCATACCTTCACCGAATAGCCTTTCAACACATTGGAGGGTGGTAGTTGAGTGGAATAACCCCAGATCTTGGGTATTTCCTCGACACCACCCCTCATCTATTCGTTCAACTTGTGACGTTCACCCTCTCACCTCTTTACCCCTTCACAGAACCTCCTTTCTTTCTCCTAAACACCATCAACAATATCAAACCTTCACCAAGCACGCTTTCAACGCGTATAGTGTTCAAGTTCAAGAAATATACTCACCGTCGGGATATTTCATCCACACTATCCGTGTTCAACTTCACTTGTAAGAACCACCCCTCAACAATCCTGCCCCCACCTCACGAGACATCATCAGCAGTCTCAAACCTTCCTTGAGCACTTTGTTAACTTGTAATAGGAGAAGACCTGAGAAAGAAACTCACGATCTGTGTATTTCTTCAGCACCATCCGTGTTCAGTTTCACTTGTAAGTTCCACCCTTCAACGATCTTTCCTTCCACCCCATGAGATATCATCTGTCTTCTTGAACCTTCATCGAGCACTTTATTAACAAGTAGAAAGGTGAAAGTTCCAAAAGCAACTCACAGCCTGGACATTTAGATACTTCATCCACACAGTCTGGGTATTTGCTCCACACGATCTGTGGTCAGTGTTCTATTCAACTGTAAGAAACCCCCCTTCCCCTATCTTTTTTTTTTCTTGTTGGACGCCATCAACAGCCTCGAACCTTCCTAGAACATCCAGTTAACATCTCGTAGGTCAAGAGTCTTGACAAATCTTCTCACCTTGTGGTATCTCGTGTCATTCCCTGGCACCAAGCTCCAAGTTCCAACAGGCTCCACGACGGGCTACCCAAATCAAGAACATCAAGACATTTTCATAAAGCCTTACAATGGCTATCATATATCGAACCAACAGCTTGAACAAGCGTACAAAAGACAAGAAAGCCAAGCCCGAACCGAAGGCACCGAAGTTTCCGAAGGACGCTGTCAGGAACAAGGACGGTACCCGAAAGAAGCTATCGGCACCCTACAACGCAACTCTCGGCACAGCTCATGTCAATAACCGCTTTAACGAGACCTTCGGCGTCGATCCCGAGACTCTTCCCCGTAGCGAGTCCGTGCTGGATCTGAACCAGTTCGTCGCCGACGCCCTTGCAGCTATCGCATACAACAGCACTAAGGCCTATAATTTGACAAAGAAGATCACATTACCCAAAAAGGGCTGGAGGCGCACGAAGCAGCGCATAGGTTTTCGAGAGAAGGATGTGCTAACGCATGTTCTTCGAAATACCGCTGAGATGTTCAAACGACTGCGCCTTCACTATATGGATGACGAGGCTGCACTGATCGTTGAGTGTCTGGAAGAGAGCGATCTGCTCTGGCAGAATGTAAGTGTTCCCACTATGTGCTGATACCTCTTGTTGAGGTGGACCTTCTCGCGTCGAGCGCTGACTTACTGTTGAAGATTCTTGAGCCTCTCACGGGAATTGTGCAGACCATATCAGAGGTAATGTTCCGTGGATATACCAATTTAGAAATCCACAGAATAGATGGCCTGAGGTTGGCCCGCTCGATTCGCACTATTGGAGAGGAACTTAAGGTAAGTATCCTACTACCTCCTCGAGGGCAGTTGATGCTAACCTGAACAAAGGTCACCGCGGTTATGCTGGACAGTATGATAGGCCTGGTTGCAACAAGATGGACAGCCAGGACCGTCTTGATGGCAGAAGAAACGGCACAGAAATGGCGTGAAACTACCATGTGAGTAAAATAATCCAACTTCGCGGCTCTTCAGCTCGCTGACCCCCCCTGTGATAGTACGCGCTTGGGCTTGGACGATATATATGATCCATTAGCACCCGACCAAGAATCCGACCACGTGAATGTCGATCGCGCCAAACTGTTGGCAGAAAAAAAGCTAAACACTCCTGAACTTCCAGGAGAAAGTCCGAGTTCTCAAAAGGAGAGTACCCCCACCGGGAAAGCCAAAAAGGGCGGACCTGCAGTACAGGCAAAGGACGCGGCTGCAACCAGCAGTTCGAGCAAGAAACCTATCTTGAAAAAAGCGCCAGAAGAGCCTCGCACAAGAGGGCCCAGCGTTTTCCTCCCACAAAAAAATGTGCCCAACGAAATGGAGCGCAGGCTCCTCGCGAGAGAAAAGGCACACCAAGAGCGCGAGGAAAGAGAATACTCCGAACGCTGTGCAGAACGGACAGCGCTTGAAAATCTTGAAGATGACGAGGATCTTGTGCCGACTGGCTCCAACAGAGCCTACAGAGCCCACATGGCAGCCAGAAACAAACGGGAACACCATGGCCTTCAGATGAACAATCAGGATATGGAGATGGATCCACTGAGAATGGCCCAAATCAGGGGTGTCAGCAACAGCGGGAGCTACCTTAGCTACCCAGCTTTTCCATCCGCACACCTCACTGACAACAGAACCAAAGCTGAAATTGCGCCTGTGAGATCACACCGTCACCGAAAGGACGAAAAGGGGAAGGGCGTCGAACGCCGCTCGGCCCTGAAAAAACCTACTGACGAAATCCCAGAGAACAGCCGTCAAAATGACAAACTGACCCCGCAACAAATTAGTTCCAGCCAAGAGGCCTTGAAGAAGGCCGAGGTCCTGGTTCGCCTCATGGAGTCGCGCGACCACATTGTCACTCAAGTCAAGGGTCGCCTCGTGGCCGTCGAGAACCGCGTTGAGATGCAGGCTCCTCCCAGCCGTAGTGAGATCGAGAGACCATCGACCTCCGATCGTGCCAACAGCAACGAAGGATTAACCAAGCCAAAGCCTATTTTCCAGCGAGAGAACGGCAGCATTAAAGTCTGCACCGACGAGAACAAACGTCCCAGAGTCAGGTTTGAGGAAGCAAGCCTTCCAGCTGGAGATGGCAGAGACAGTCGCGCTTACAGAGAAGCCCACGCCAACCGCGCCCGCAGCCGAAGAATCGGAGACGAAACCGCCAGCAGCAGCCGAACCTCTGGAGAAGCCAGTACCAGCGGCAGCAGCAGCCGCACTGCTGGAGAATCCAGCACCAGCCACAGTGAGAGAAGGTCCAGCACGATCCGCAGTGCCAAAAGGACCAGTGCGGGCCGCAACGCTGGAGAGACCAGCACCCATCCAAACGGTCGCTTTATCCGTGTAGGCAATGATGTGATCCCCGCTCCACTCAAGATCCGTCAGACTCTTTCCCAGTCCCCTCTTCTTGGGAAGACCACCGTCGGATTCCCCGGAGATAGCAGCTTGATGCCCGCGCCTCTCAAACTTGGCCACAAGCTCGCCAAGGCTCAACTCGAGAACCGCAGCGTCGGAATCTCAGAAGAACTCAGTGAAAGGCTTATCCCTCTCAAACTCAGCCAGACTAGATCGAAGTCTCCTTACGAGAACAGCGGCGTCGGATTCCCCGAAGGTCTCAGTGCGATGCCTGCTCCCCTGAATCTCAGCCAGAAAAAATCTCAGTCTCCCCTTGAGAGCCGTGGCTCCGAATTCCCCGAAGGTCTCAGTGCCATGCCTGCTCCTCTCAAGCTCAGCAAGACCAAATCCAAGTCTCCTCTTGAGAACTATGGAGCCGAATTCCCCCAAGGCAGCAGCGCGATGCTTGCTCCCCCCAAACTCGGCCACAAGCGTGCCAAGTCCCCTCTTGAGAACCGCGGCGTTGGATTCCAGGGAGGTACCAGCTTCCCGTCTGCCTTGGAGCTGGCCAAATATCGCGCGCCCCAACCTGGTCCTCCACCCGATAGACCACTTCCTCCTCTTCCTACCAACAATTGAGTAACTATTTTCAGTTTGTTGATGTCTCATTCACACTATTGTCAACTGTTGTGCCGGAGGCGGTGAGGCTTGTCTTTGTTGAGTTAAATCAACAGGACGGGTTTGGATCTGGCTTTGTTGATTTTAGTGTTTCTGCAGCAATGCGGAAGAGACACAACTTACTTTTCTCCTTCTCTGCCTCTTCGGAGGTTCCGAGAAGTGACACTATTCTTAGTCTACCAGTACGTTGAGGTGACATATAGCGGGGGAGACGTGGAGCTGGGTGCACATTGTGCGTTAATACCTAGTTATGAAGCGGGGAGCCAGAAGTCACATAATAGGGGAGTGTATGATAGATATAAATAAACAAAACTGATCTAACTTGTGTCCTTTGTCGTTGTCGTCGTCGTAAGTTATCCGGTATGGAGAGTCTGAATGGAAGGTGGCCCGTCACATAGGGGTCACTTGATTTGACTTCAAAACGAGCGATTCATATTGTAAGGTGCCTAACTAACTAAATAGTTAGATACAATACTCAATGAACTAAGCAGAACGGTAGAGGACCACCGCGTTACTCCATCCGCAACGTCGTCGTCGATCCCGCCGTTTCACACTTGTGGTCGTCGACGACATCCACCCGATCCCCAATCCAGCAACGCGCGCCCAGCTCCCCGATAACAGTGGCCGCTAGGCTCCACCATCACGATACCCGCCAAAATTTTATTTTCCCAGCCTTATCTCTCAATCCGCACTCCATCATCTACCAACCCATCCCAGACCACGCCCGCGGCGCCCAACGCACCACGATGAACGCGCACGCCCTACTCACCTCCCAAGGCTGGCGCGGCTCCGGCCACTCGCTGCACGCGCACAGCGACTCGATCGGGCTCGCGCGGCCGCTGCTGGTGTCGCAGAAGCAGAATACGCTTGGTGTGGGGAAGAAGCAGCATCGGACGAGCGATATGTGGTGGATGAATGCGTTTGATAAGTCGTTGCAGGGGTTGGATACGAGCAAGGAGGGTCAGGTGGTCCAGACGGTTACCGGGGGGGGGTTGGATATGGTGAAGAGGGGTGGGGGGAAGTATGTGGGGACGGGGGGGTTGTATGCTTGTTTTGTGAGGGGGGAGACGTTGGTGGGGAGTGTAAAGGAGGTTGTGGAGGTGAAGGTTCTGGAGGTGAAGGTTGAGGAGGATGAGAAGGTGGATAAGAAGGCGGAGAAGAAGAGGAGGAAGGATGGGGAGACGAAGGAGGAGAGGAGGGAGAGGAAATTGGAGAAGAGGGCGAGGAGGGCAGCCAAGTCGAGCGCGAATGAATCTTCGAGTACCCCCTCCGACGAAAGCGACGCGGTAGAGACGAAAGCACAGCGAAAAGAACGGAGGCGGCTAAGGAAAGCATCGAAAGCCGAAGCGGCAGCCGCCGCGTCCCAGGACTCCTCCGATACCCGCTCCTCAAAAGACGACAAGAAGAAGAAGAAGCGGAAAGACTAGACATTTGTCCTGTCTACCCTTTTGGAATTTTATGTTTTACGGCGATACTCGAGCAGCATTAGCGAATCATTGCAGGCGTTTCGGCGAGGAGGGTTTATTATGGGCACATATAGACACAGCCATGTGGTTGGTGGTTTGGATGGATGCAGATGAATATGTATGAATTTCACGGCTCGGGTTTTATCTTGCCGGGGCGATTAGATACTATCCAGGGCCTCTGTTCCCAAAAGTCATCCTTTATGAAATCAACATGCTGAACGACGATCTTTGCCTTCTGCCGCGCCTTCCTCTCCTTCTCCGCCTGTGTTTTTGATAGAGCCATTTCCGGGGCCGTCAGAGCTTCTTCGTTGAGCACTGGCGAAGATGTGGTAGCCTCTACTAATTCATACTGGAAACTTGTAAGCATATTAAAAACTGCCATCGGCCTGGGGCTACTGACACCTCGAAAGACTATACTCCCCTTCTTGTAAATGTCAGGCTCATTATTGTAATTCATCCCAAATCTCGAGAACAATATCTCATTCTTATCTGCCGCCAGTGTGCCCTATATCTGATCAGCCAAACACCTTAAACATCAAGAAATAGCAAAACTTACCGCCAACTCCGCCTCTGCAGCTTTCGCATCCATGCCCCCCTGCTGTATCAACGTCCAAAACGTCGTATTATACAGATTATTAATATGACCTAGAACAGACACCCATTAGCACCCCCCTTCTTTCCCCCTCTCAAACCGACAAAAGAGAACTTACAGTCAACCTGCCGCCAACTCATATAATCCCTCAAATTCTGGACAGTCGGGTACTGCACCACCCTCCCATCAAAGCCTGGAAGCGGAAACGTGAGGGGCGAGTCGGGGAAGAAGGAGGGCCAGAGGTGGACGTAGTAGGCTGAGAACATGGAGACGATTGTTGTGACGAGTTTACTGCGGGAATATCAGCATTTTCACAACTGGCAGCGTTGAGAACGCCGCTGAGTGGGGGAATAAGGACTTGCCTCGATCGTCGCTCGAATAGCGTGCATGACCTGTGAAGCACGAAACTGTTCACCGCGTCAGTCAAATACACATATTCCTCCCTTCAACTCCTATGCTTGGGTAAATCATACCTATACTCGTCACTGATCCCATACGCCACGACGACATCTGGTAACTCGACCAGGACCCTCTCCGCCGCCGCGTTCATGAGATCCAGCGCACGGCGATCATTAGGTTTCTTGAAGGCATATTTATCTGAGAACCTGCAAACATGTCAGTATCTCCAAATAAAATCACTAGTAAATACTGCGTCGGGGTAGGTTACTTATGGAATCCCCGTCCATCGATACGTATCACGATCCACGTGTTTGGTAAGAGCAAATCCGGCTGCTCAAAGGACTTGACGTATTCATACCTGTCTTTGCGTTAGACTACCGTGAACAAGTATATTCGGATTTGAGGACCTTACTTTGAATTCGCCATTTTTATTTGAGCGGGGAGGGGGGGGAGGGGTAAATTTATTTTATTGCTGGTGATGGCGGGGTGAGGCGGGGTGATGGGTTTTGGTGTAACTTTTTTGGTTTGGTGGATGAAGCGAGTCACGGGAACTTTTTTCGACTAAATGAAGGGAATGGACCCTTAAGGTTGAGTTACTGAAAATTAGGGGATTGGATCAAGGATTGCATATGGGAAAAAATAGATATCGGATTTCAGAATTAGTTATATCCGATTTCTGGTACCGGCACATTGTTACACGTCAATTGGGAACTGGTAAGCTTGGATGTAAAGTGTGTGGTATTTCATTTCAGTCATTTTGTCTAAACTCTACAAACTCCCTCTAAATCTACACCATAACTCTCTACTGCAGATACTCCTTTGGAAGCGTAGCGACCTTATCCTGGAACAGCTTCTCCGCGCGCTGCCAGACCGGGACGTTCCTCCAGTCCTTCAACTCCAACAAGCTCGGGAGGAGATCGTTCCCGAACGCCTCGCTCGCCTCTCTCGGGAGCAGCGATGGCAAGTGATCAATGCTGATCACGCTCAACTTAGGCTCCTGCTTAACCTCAACCGGGACCGTAGGCTTATCAAACGTCGTAGCGACAGTGTAAACCGGGACCGGGTTATTGGGGTTGGTGGTATCAGCGCTGACATCGCAGATAACCGACAGCTTGCGATCCGCCGTATCCAAGCTCTCGTAATCCACAAAGCTAGGGATCTTAGAGTTCAAGTAAATGCAGTTCACAAAGATATCGCTCTCGATGATCTCCTTGAAAGGCCCACCCTTCGCCGTCTCAGCCATATCCCACTTCACGATATTATCCTCCGGGATGCCCGCACGCCTGCACAGCTCCACGGCACCCGATCCACACCGTCCCAGCGCACCAATAACTAGGATACGCGGCTGGCTACCTGTCTTCGCGGCGCCCTCAGCGACGGCCTTCTTGACATCGGCAATGAGCGCGGTCTCGTTGGGGTAGGCGCTGACGCCTGGGAAGGGCTCCGAGTGGGTGAGTTGCCAGGCCCAGTTCTCGAGGGCGAGGGCAGCGCCGGCGAATCCGGCGTGGAAGCCATAGGCGGCGACGCGTCGGCCGCGCTCGTCGACCAGGAATTCGAGGTCCAGGAGCGTGCCGTTGCCACGGGGGAAGCGGGAGAGGACGGATTCCCAGCCGCCTTGGTTCTTGTAGCAATGGGCGAATTGGATGTGGACATGCTTCAATGGGACTGGATTCCGGTTAGTATGGTTAAATAAATGTGTTGATTCTGGCTCGTGGTGACTCACAGTCTTCCTCTGGGAGCTCCTTGAGTCCCAGGATGATGTGGTCGGCGGGGGCTTCGCGCCAGGTGTTCTCGGGCACCAGTGTCGCCCCTACGGCCTCAAACTCGGCATCATCGAAGATGCGCTCTGGGCTGCGCTCAATGCGTACGGTGTAGCCGGCATCGAGGAGGGCCTTGGTGGTGGTGGGAGTGAGGGCGGAGCGGTGCTCGAGCGCCTTGCCTGCGGGGCGTTAGCAATTGCGGTCTGTGGGAGGGTGAGGAGGGGTTCATACACTCGGAGCGGAGATGAAGAGTAATTCCAGACATTTTGGGGTTGCAATTGAATAGGTTATTATTGTTTTGCGTGGAGAAAAGTTCAAAAGAAACGACTCTCCTAGAGATGCGCTGCGAGTTGGTTGGAAATTCTGCCAGCCATGACTCAGACTCACCGCCTCGAAATTGGCGGGTTGTGGTCGAGTACCCCGCCGACACCGCTTCTTGCTTTATTTGCCTCACTATATTATTATATGTCGCTTTAGAAGTTTAGAACTTGCGGGTACAACATCACACAACACTCAATACAATACGTATACGTGATCATCATTTCTACAGTACATTTATGTAGACATAACTGTCATCAGAGCATTGATAAGCACGGTGGAAGATATACATACTGAGCAATGCGTCTGGTTTTGCTTTCAGCCTTGCCTTGACAAATGCAATGATAAATCACGTGATGCAAGACCACTCTTTGATCACGTGGTATATCCTAGGTAGAGCTCAACCGTACCACTTCCCACTCGGCGCCGTCACCGACGCAGCCATCAATAGGAATGCACACAAGTGCGCCAGTCAGCTCGGGGTTCGAAATCGCGAATCGCGAATGACGGTCAAGACTGAAAGACCCAAAGACTGAAAAGATGTTGTTTCCCGCCTTTCTCCTTGGGCGCTTGAATCAATTCTGAGCCAATCAACAGCGCTATCACATTATGTCTCTAAGCGCTGGCACCAGGGTCGACACATCTCCCCTCCGTCCACTTATCCGCCTTTCCCAATCCCCCAGCCAAATGCGACCTTCTATTTTGAGTTTCCCTTGTCCTCATTGACCATGCCCATCGACACATGTCGTCCCATCCCGCAGAATGTCTCAAGGAATGCGGGTTGCAGGCGCCTCCTTGTGCATGCGCCTCGAACGCCCGACCCTTGAACCCCTCACTAGTATGTCGAAGTGTGCATTCCCCAGGTAGGTTGTCAGCTTTCTCTCATATATCTCCCACAAGTGGCTCTGTGTTCTTCATGGAGGGGGCGTGCTGCTGTCGTATTCTTCTTCATATACCTATCCTAGACGCTGGAAGTCGTCTTCTCTTCCCTTCATCTGATTAGTATCCGGTATACTACACATATATCAAGATGTCTGCGAATGCGGGATTACAGTTGTTTCCTCCCCCGCCAACAAAGAAGAGCCAAGGGAAGTTTAGCACCCGACGTGGGGTCATCCAACCAGGACATCCTGAAGATGCCTCTTCGAGTCGCCCAAAGACACCTGACGCTCCCATCGATGGTCGTCAGTCTGCAATGAGCAACAAGCACTCTGTTTTCGACGGCAGCCCGCAATCTGCGATGGGTGGCCGCAATTCGCCGAATCCTTTTGGATCTGAGATCCAAAGGTCCCAAACAGCCTTCTCAGAAGCCCCGACTCTTGTCAGGAGTCACAGCAATTCATCACGCAGCTCGATTGCGAAGCCACCGCTCCAAAATAACGCGGCAGGCTCAAGTCAACAGCCCATGATCCGATCGATATTTCCTCGATATAACCCCGATGTTCCCCTCGAGCAACAAGACTATTATCCGACACAAACCAGCCCCACTCATATCCCTCAATCGGCTATCAGTAGGAGCCCATACGCAGCTGGCAGCGGGTCGGGTCGAACACCCCTCGGTATGCCTACGGGCCCCCGTAGAGCTATAACGGAGATCCCAACGCCGCCAACAACATGCTCCACGGAAGAGCTGAAGCAGCTGTGGAAAGTGACAAACGGCTGGAGGGTATCAGCGAGCGAGGGCCGCTCATTCTGTCTTAAAATGACAAGTGCAGTCGAAGAGCCTGTCCACACCCTCTCCTCCGCCACCCACCCCTTCTACACTCTCCGCCTCGACCCAACATCCACCTCCGCCCTGGTAGCAATGACGCGACACGACCCGAACAAAGCCCTCACAAAGAGCACATCCACCCTCATGGGCGGCTCAAAGAACAAAGACAAAGACCCCGCGGGCGTGGAAGTCCTCACCACAGCCCTCGAAGACCCCCAGCGCCGCCTCCCCCCCAGTGATGGCCTAGTCGCCCTCCTCTACCCCCGCGCCGCAGCCGCCATGGCCCTTGACATGGTCGCCAAGAACAACAGCCCCAGCGAGGACACCGCCCGCGCAGCCGCTGAATTCGAATGCGGTCGCTTGGTCTGGGATAATGACACCGAGAAGTATTACCTCGTGCACCAGTCCATGTCGACGCCGTTCTGCGTCACCATCGCCTCGTCACCCGCTTGGTCGCGCGTCGAGTACACGCTCGAGCACCCGGAGCTACCGCATACTATGGTGAAGTTGACGCGTGACGGGTCGGGGGGCGGATACCTTGAGGTCGACACTGGGGTGGCGGCGCGGATTGATAGTTTCTTCCTCGTTGACGTTGCAATCTGCGCGGTCGTGATTGTGGCTTTAGCGGAGGAGAAGACGCATAACATCGAGCGCTTTGAGGCGCCGCCGACGACGGCGCCGCCAGCTGCTAAGACGAAAAAGCCCAAGATTGAGGAGATGGAGATGGATCTCGAGAGCCAACAGAGCCTATCGGATAAGGAGAAGGCGAATCTGCCGAAGCCGACGAAGGGGGCGCTGAAGGTGCTGTTTTGGGCACTGAAGTTTGTGGTATGGGTCTTGACGTTTACGGTGAAGACGCTGGCGAGTGTGATTATTTCCATCAGCGGGTGTCTGACGAAGAAGGGGCTGAATTAGCTTGGCTGATTTGAGCAGCTGGATGACTGCAGTTGGTTTTATTGTTTCTTTGGTACATAGAGCGTGATGTAAGGCGTCATGGATAGGGATGGGGAACACGGAGCTTCGGGGTTTTTAGACTCTTACAGTCTTGTCATGAAAGTAGGCCATAGCTCAACTACCTAGGAAATCGTATCAATATTTTCATCTTCCCATCATACACACCCACCCTACTTCTTCCTCTCCCTAACCTTGAACTTCATCCCCCCCTTCGTCACCCCCCCAACACTCATCGTCTTCCCCATCTTCTTCCTCTGCAAATCCAGCGCCTCCTCCGCCTCCGTAAGCGCCTCCAACCTCCGTTCCGCAATCTCCAACATCCCCTCCAACTTTCCCGCCTCCTTCTCCCTCACCCTCCTCAACCTTTTCTCCCCCTCCTCCTCCCCCTCTCCTCCTCCCGCTCCTCCCTCTCCTCAGCCCCCCCATCCTAACGGCCCTCTCCCCCTCCCCCTCCACAAACACCACCCTCCTCCCCTCCCCCTCAATCCCCACCACCCTCCTCCTCAGGCTCTCAACCTCTTTCGCAGTCTTATTCCACATCGTCCTCACGTACCCCAAATCCTGCGTCTTGAACAACCGCACCGCGTCCTGGTCGAGGACTTTGTTCCCCTTGTCACCGTTCAGCGTCCCGGTGCTGTTCTTGCCGGATGTGGTGGGGCCTTTTTGGGAGACCATCCCGAAGTAGAATTCATCGGGGTTTTTGTCGAGGACTTTTTGGCGGAGGGCTTTGAGTTTGGTTTTTTTGGCGTTGAAGTCGCGCGCGCGGGCGGAGTAGTCCTAGGAGGGGACATGTTAGATGGGGTAATGAGGGGTTGGGGGAAGAGGGGAGGTTACCTTGTGTTTCTCTAATAATCCCCATTTTGCGCGCTCTTCAGGTTGTCCTCTCTCGCGATGCGGGCGGCGCTGAACCGCATTTCGCATCGACGACATGGCTGCTCCGTGTATAAAAGTCGCCTGATCTAATTATATGGTTCCAAACACACTAACTCGAGGGTCGTATTTAAGAGTTTCGTTGTAATAATTCGTGGGAAATCGAAGGGTATGAAGTTGAATAATGCTCGTTCAACCTCGCGATATATTATTTCTCTTATCGCCCATCCCAAAATTTACTACTGGACACCCACCACCCGCCAAGCCCCACACCACACCCCAAATTCTCCGCCCCGCCGCGGAAACTAACCCACTCCTCCCCCTGCACCTCCAGCTCCAGCGACAATTATATCTGTAACTTATGTAAATCCAACCCAGCACCACCACTCCCACAACAACACCCCGCAAAGGCGACCCTTTCTCACGGACACACAAGCGGCAATGGCGCCCCTCCCAGCCGCAGAACCGGCCGAGCCGCTAGAGCGCCTCCCCATGCCCTCACGGAACCCGCTCCCGTTGTCCGCGGGCCAGGAGACGCAGGTGCGGGACCTATATTTTGCGCGTGTGCGCGCCCTTTGCGCGGCAGAGATTAAAGGTTCGTCTCCCCTCCTACTGCTGTTGCTCCCTGCCCCGGTCTGCTGGGTCAATGTTCCAGCTCCGCGGCGGGAGGTCGTGTGCACCTAGCTAACTCTTCTTCCCCCCCTCTCCAGAATTCGCAGAATGCGCAGTCGGCCGAACATTTACAGCGCCATTTGCGTGTCGCGCCCAAAGACTAGGGATGAACAGCTGCATGATCGCGCACGCCACGCAAGCGGAGCAAGATAACGCGCGAGAAGAGTGGTTCGGGCTACGGCTTCAACGACAGAAAGACCGCGAAGCGAAGGATAGGCGGCGGAAGGAGCAGGAGAAGTTTCATAGGGAGTGGTGGGGACTGCCGGAGGCGGATCGGGAGGGGGAGAAGGGGAATGCGGTGTTGAGGGAGGCGGAGAGGGTGGGGGGGTTCCCGAAGAGTGATGAGGGGCAGTTGAGTAAGGATAGGCATCGGTAGGGAGGGAGATTGGGAGTGCATGGATGGGCGTTTGGGTTGTTTACTGTATTTCTATATGGCGCTTGGGTTGCGCGGCGTGTTGGATGTGTAGGATAGGTGGATGGATAGTCTCCCAATTGAGTGAAGCTTGTATCTATAAGCCATGGGGTTCTTGAATGCTGTGAGAGCCGTAGCGGGGCATCGTGTCTATAAGGATTTACAAGACTGAAGTGTCGTTATGTGGCACTAACTAGAGCAAAGTACAGTTATAAAATGACTCTGATTTGAGAGTTTAACCAATTTATGGTTGTATCTACGTATCCTATCTAATAATGACCCCCTTTCGTTCCCCGCCCCAAGACCTATACACACAAAACCTTAGTCTATCCCAATCAACGTGCCCTCTATCCTACTCCTCTCCAGAGTCTGCGCAATATGTTCATTCTCCGACTTCCTCGCGCTCTGCCTCCCCTCCTCCAACCTCTCCACCCCCCGCTGAATATGCTCAATATGCACAGACAGCGGAATATCGATCCTATCCCGCAGCAATTCCGGCGACCCGACACGCTCACGAAGATCCTCAAGCCCAGACCCAATCTGCTGCAGTTTGAGAATGGTGGCTGAGACGTGGCCGTAGGCCGACTTCCGGTATACTCCTACTTGCTTGAGGAGATTGAGCTGCCGGTTCGTTTTGCTGAGTTTTCCTCTGTTGCCGCCGACCATGGTCCAGAGCTCGGAGAGAAGCTCTTCCCTCTGGGCGATGGCGTGGTGGCCGTCACGGGTCACGATGCCGTGGATTACTTCGAGTCGGTCTTCGAGATTGTTCAGAACCATCAGTAGGGCCTGGGCCTCGTCAATCAACTTCATGATCTCCTCTTCGACGATTTGTGTGTGTTTGATATATTGATCAAGCAGCACTGATTCAGTGAACTTGACGGGCTGAAAGGGTGCAAGGAGCTTATTGGCAAAGCTGTTGGCGAAACTATTGATTGCTCCTTGGGAGGCATCTCGGATTTGTATACCCTCAAGCACTCTCGTTGTCCACCGGGTTGTAGCAAGCACATTGTCAACAGCCCTTCCGATGTGGCTGTTGAACTTTTGAAGATCGTACGAGGCAATCCTTGCAGTTTCTATGAATCCGTCGAACTCCAAAACAAGCTCGTTCTTTGAATGCAACTGGCTGTACCTCACCAGCTGCCGTAGATCTCGAATGGACGCCTCCCCTCGCTTCATATCCATAGGAAGTGACACCCCAGCTGCACTCTCATCTAGCACCTCCTCAAACTTCCCTTGAACGGAGATCAGCTGGTCAAACTCCGCCGCTGGTGACGGACCAGACTTCGAATCATAGCCACCGGAGGGGCAGAATGGAAGGTTAAGAAGCGAGGTGTTTGGGATACGACATAATGGCGATAGCGAAGAGTAAATCAAATTAGTGAAGAAATTCCGCATCATGATGCTGAGCCCGAGCAACAGCCAAACAGCAAGCGCATATGAGATGGGCGTCTTGAGTATACGGAGGCTCTTCCCCAGAACATCCAGTACAAATGATAACATAGCAGTGGCGTGGCCGGCCATAATCTCCAGAAACTCAGACCCAGCGCCTTCGGCAGGGCGCTGTGGTCGTCGGACATCCGGTGGACACGAACGGTTCTGAGGACTTCCATTCTGTGCAGCTTGACGCGAGCTGCGTCGCTTTGCGTCTGGTTGTTTCTCTGGGGTACTCGACTTCCGCCTTTGACGACTCCCTTCAGAACGTGAACCCCCACTAGACAGACCCTCCCATGAGCCGTCTATTGCCCTGTAATCCAGGGATGGCATAATAAACTCAGGGTTAGGCGACCTCATGGTCCTCTTTGGCCGCTGAGTCGCATTTGTGTCGTGCTTTGTGTCGTGTCGCGGAATGACGTACTGCTCCTCTTTCACTGTTACCTCAACCAACCATTTGAATAATAGGAATTTACTATTTAAATTTTGATTAAGTAGGAGGAATTTCAGAACGTACAGATTGCTCGCAAGAACACACAACCTCAAAAAAGTAACGAAGACTTGTTTAATCTAACTTATGATACAGACTTAAAAAAACTTGCTACAAAATAAAAATAAAACTGCTCTTGCTACAAAATAAAACTGCTCTTCCTAAAAATAAAACTACTCTCGCAAAAAAAAAAAAAAATTACTCTGCCTATAGTGGCGAGCAATGTACGGAAGATATCATAGCATGTGTTTCCCAACAAAAAAAAACAAAAACAAAAAACATTTCATATTCATATCTAGATTACGGCTATGACGCTATCCCCAACTATAGTTACAGCGATGATGGTATCCCTAACTATGTTTAGACTTAGGGTCAGTTAGGGTTGTTTTTGCGGGATACCTTAATTAATCTTGCCAGGCATTTTGGGCTAGGTAGCTGCCTCGACAGGGGGTTTATCATTTGTGTGCTTGGCTTTCTTTTGCGTATTTTGTTTGTCCCCCTCACCCCCCTTGGATGATTGTCCCGGGCAGGCGGAGAGGCCCTTTTCAGTTCCTAGAGCGGGTTTTATGTAGTCAGTGTTTGAGGTTTTTTCATGTGTGGAGGGAGGGAGGGGGGACAAAAAAACATTCACGCGTTTATGTCGAATTGCATAGGGAGGGAGGAGACCGGGGGAAGGGGTGCATAGGAAATAGATAGGGAGAGGGGCATGTAGGTGGTGGTTCATCGAGGCGGAGAGAGAGAGTTAATTCGCTAATTTGTATTACTACGTGTGTGTACATCCTGTTGACTGTTTTTTTATTTGGGTGACTGTGATGGGTTTTGAGGCAGCTGCGAGTCTGGCTGCTTCGCCTGCGGTGCGGCTACTCGCTGAACAAGATAAAAACGACGATGTTTACGCCAAGGAAGGTGGGCCAATCTGCGCGTCGAATCCTATATTGTCAACGGTCTAAAGTCGAAGAAAAAATGCTAAGGTTCGAGGAATTCATCCTTGCATCGCCCATACCGAGGGTCAAGGGAATCAGCAGTAGCAGCGAGAATTAACAGTGACGGTGAGAACCAGCAGTGACAATGAGAACTAGTAGGGACAGTGAGAATCGGCAAGCTCCTCGATGGTGGACGAGTCTCGTGGAATACCCAACCTTAGAAACCGGCCGCGTGGTCGTGTCGACAACATTGCTCCTAAGTGATTCTTTTATTTCTTTTGCGGATGCACTAATCTTTCTAACGAAATCCTGTGTACATTTTACTCTTATGGCCTTCCCGTCACTGAGAGGAGGCGCTTGCCGAAGAGATGGTCGACAACAGCGTGCGATGGGGGAAACTTGTTGATGCTGAGATGAAAGGCCTCATAGTTCATTCCGAGTTATTATTCTTGTAAGTCCCTATTATACCCCCTTGTCTTTACATGTTGTACTTTTTTGACCCAGATGGGTCCTTCATCAACAGAATGGAAGGACGCGCTTGACGTGATGGAGTCATACATGGGAATTAGCCTGGATGGAAAGGAGAGTGATAATATTTTCACCGTTGACAGGGGCAACAGAGAGGACAGTGAGAACCAGCAGTGACAGTAAGAACCGGCAGCAACAGTCAGAACTAGTAACGACAGTAGGGACATGCTTCGTGATATCGCCAATACCCCTTCCATCAACTCCAACAACCTCGTCCTGGGAAGCAACCCCCTCCCACACACCCCATGTAATAGCTGTCTGAATCTTTCCAACTGTCGAGCATCCCCTCAGTCGCCCACGGCGCAAATCAAGAATATATACCCCATAACCGAACCTACAATCCATTAGGGGAACAATCGCTTGTGGCGGTCGATTCGACTGAGGTCCACCAAGTTTAAGGGGCTCCATTTCACGGGATTTTTTTTGGCTGGTCTTCTTATTGGACAATTTCCGTAGGATCCGTAGCAGTAGGTAGAGAACATAAACCGTAACTACAGTCATGAAGCAGTAGGGCCCGAAGTGATAATTTTGTAATGCATATTCTTATAATTGAAGCTATTCTGACTAGTATATAGACTGTTCCGGGCCCTATTCCTGTGCCTATTCGTGGCTCGGATCCTGAAACCCCCCTGGTTTCGGTCCGTTCCCTAGAGCTTCAGAATCGAAACTTCAGAATCGGAAGATCTAGGATCCGGAGGATCACGAAGCTGGCTGACACAGCTTCGGTATCAGGGCTCTGATCCCTGCTTCCAGGTCGAGGATTCAACACTTCTTGATAGCACTCAACAAGCTGCTTTTTCGACTGGGGATATTTTCAGGGGAAGTCGATATTCGGCGAGATGGGATATTGATCGGCCATCACCAGAGGTAGTCTAAACAGCAAGGGAAGCTGGTGGGGAAATAGGAGCTGGGAAAGCTTGATATTATCACCTTTGGATACGATGCGAATATAAATTCCTCGGTCATGACGGCAGGCCCATGCCCATGACGTTAGAAAATCAGATGTAGTGCTATTATGGACGCAACTACTGTGTACAGTCTCCAACAACCTCCTCTCTAACCTCATTCGAGGGACTCGGCTAGAGACGGCGGAGTAGACACTGGCAACGATAGTGAGAATCAGTAGTAACAGCAAAACCAGCAACGACGGTGAGAATCAGTAGTGACAACAAAACCAGTAACGACAGTGAGATCGATTTTGTTTCCCATCGCTAGTTTATATGGCAGAGGCTCGCCTTTGAAGGTGCATGTTGCCAGACTTGTGCCCCTTATTGTGGCATTTTCTCTGCGGCCACGTCGTCTAGCTGTGGTCGGGGCGTTTTGCTTCTCAGCACTCATCTTACTTTAGGTATCAAGCCTTATTGAAACATCGCCAGCACCAGGAAATAGACGCCTAATACCCAGTATAAATTCCTGCGCTTCCTCTTACATTCTCTAGAATATGGGATGTGAAAACTGCCTCTTATTAACTGACCCCTGCAGATACTATCCCCCGCATTTTTCTCATGGTTTTTCGTCCGCCTCTCCAATCCTGAAAGAGGTGCCAGGGCTTGGGTGGTTAGATCATAGCAATTATTATCCACGGCACGGAGTAGGTTACTCTTCGCCAGCCTCATTGGCGAGGAACTCGCAAGGCCCTCAGCTTACAAGGGGGGTAATGGGGGCAATGGGGAAGAAGAGTCACCAGGGAACGCGAATAGCAATACATCTCCTACCGGTGACAATATCGACAATCAGTCCCCTACGCGTGGTTGGCCACAAGAACTCCATGACGTGCAATATGCTGTATTAAGTCACCGCAAGTATCGCTACAGTAGTTTTAGTCTACCCCCCCCCTTTTTTTTTTGAAACGCAGATCACCATCGCAGCCCAAAACGCCAAAACTCTTATCCCGACAATTTGCTTAAAAACAAACGCCGGTGGCCGCCTGCCGTAGGAGAGAAAAGTAAAGAAAAACAACAAGAGAGTGTGTGGCACCATATCAGCACAGCTAGCTCTGTAACCATGCAGCCCTGTAGCTAGCTGAGACTTTTCATGCCAAGATAAGTTATTAATAACGTAACAATAAAATCCCTCCAAGACCCAATACTTGGCAAAGACTAATGCGCGTGCCCGTCGTGCGAGTGGTCAGGGCTGGAGTCCGGGTGCGCGTGCCCGTGGCTACTGCTTCCCTGCGATACACTGCCCCGTGATCCTCCGCCCCCATTCTGACCCCCGGAAAGCGTCGCCGGTGGGCTTTTGGTAGAGCAGCAGCTCTTCCCTACGCAATCGTCCACGCATTCCAGGAGACACTCATCCACTGGCGTGGCGCGGGCGGTGCTATCGCCGTCCAACCCTCCACCGTTGGCGTCACCGTGGTCGTGCGCTCTATCGAGGCAGAACTCGGGCTGGATGGTAGCGCTGTGGATGCCGTATGCGTGAAGACACTTTCGGACGGCCTGGCAGACCTCCATGTAGCGTGCCGCGCCGCCCTCAGCGGAGATATGGAAAGCGATCTGGATATGCAAGCTAGCGATGATCTGAGAGTCTGAGAGCTGCCAGATGTGTACGTGATGGCAGGAGACGACTCCGGGGATATTCTGGATGTCTTCCTTGATATCGTTGACATCGAGGTGGTCAGGGGTGGCTTGGAGGAGGATCTTGGCAGTCGCGGAGGTTAGGGGGATGGCGGAGCGCAGGATGATGATGGTGATGAAGAGGGAGACGGCGGGGTCGGCGTAGAAGCGGTTTGGGGAGTCGGTGAGCCAGATTATGAGCGCGGAGACGATGACGCCGACGTTGCCGAGGGCGTCGCCGATGACGTGGAGGACCATGGCGCGCATGCCTAGGTCGGCGTGGCTGTGGCCGTGACCTCCGCCGCCATCCTCCCTGGGCTTGTTGTGGTTGTGGCCGTCGTGCCATGAGTCCTGGCGGATAGCTTGATAGCCGTAGCCGTTACCTCCGGCTGGCTTGAGGCCATCTGATGAAGAGGGTCGGAGTGGAGAGTGCTCGTTTGGCTCGGTTTGCTCACCCGTTGGGGATGAGGGGCCGGGGGATTCGAGGTCGTCTGCGCTTTGAATGTCGTCTAGGGAGTTGCGGCTTGCTTCGATGATCTCCTGGCGGAAACTGGCGGGGTGGATATTGATATCAGACGCGAGGCGGCTTGTCATGCTGCTGGAGCGGACCTTGGGGCGTTTGTTGCGAAGCGACTTATTGCTGTATCTACCTAGAGAAACTGATAGATCGCTACCATTGGAAGTACTGGCCGTCTCATCGGAGCTGGTAAACTTGGCTCGTCTTTCCCTCCCTGACTCCGTGGAGCGTCTGGGAGTTCGTGTGGCTTGTGAGACCGCAGCTTCTGGGAGAACATCTGCAACCCTCCCGGTCTCATCAGCAGCATCGGTCGAGGTGATGTTTATCCCCATTTGTCCCTCCTCAGCTGTTCTAACTTCGTCATCATGGGTATGTCCCTCGTCGCCGTGTGCGTGCTCTTCAGGTCCGTGTGAATGTCCATGTCCACCGAGAACGAAGAAACCCACGATATTCGAAGCCAGGCCCAATGAGCCAACAATCAAGATGAGTTGTGGGTTTGTGATAATCGCAATGTTGACGAATCTCGTAATGGCCTCAAGGATGATAGAGAGACACAGGGCAATCAGGAATACAGCGTTGAAGAAGGCACCTAGGATTTCTGCTCGTAACCACTGTTTGGAAAGTCAGACACGATTCTATATTTCGGGGTTGAAGACACTTACACCAAAAGAATATTTGTCCGAGCTAGACTTCTGGGCAGCTTTCACAGCCCATAGTCCGACGAGTAGAGATATAATATCGTTCAGCTATCCCATGTTAGCGTAGCTCTTCCATCTCGAGCGCCAGGAGGCGTACCATGTGAAAGGCGTCAGCCATCAACGCCAGCGATCCCACCCAGATCCCAACACCCAATTCGATGATGAAGAAGGTGATATCAATCACCAGCATCACAATAATCCGCGTCGACTTTGTCCACGCCATCCTGGATGGTGGCGAGCTGCTCGGGTTGGGTCTGCGTGTTTATTATTTCGTCCAGGTGAAGTGAAGGAACGGCTCGAGCTGTGATATTCGTTGTTGATCCAATCTTTGTTGCCGGAGGAGCTCCAGCCAAACACAGCAGGTGTAGTCGCTTTTAAAAGCCAGATCCCCAATTGATGGGTGATGTCGTACCTTCGTCGCCACATTACCCCATTTCACGAGCAGCCTCACGTTATGTTGGTACAAGTACCTAAGCGATGGGCTAGAACGTGTGTAATTGTACGTACGAGTACGTAAACGAACTTATCACGCCATTCCAGGTAATGCAGTATTTCTGAAACGGAACGGCAAGGGGGATCTAGATTTGTATTGGTATTGATTATTTTATAACGTGGTCCATATGCGAGTGGAACACCCAAACGAGTGAAACACCCATCTACATACATCTAGACCATATTTTTACCACCAAAAGCAATGGATATGGCTATTAAGGCTATGGAAAATGACAAAAGCTTAGTGCGCGGAAAGCTGCAAGCTTATACAACGTCAGTTATGTTACATTGATGCGTCGACGACGCGGTATTCAATCACGACTTGATTGCATGCCCAATTCTATAAAGTAACAAAACTAGAAGAGGAGGTCATTAGAGCAGTTTAGCAACCGTTACTGTCACACTTTTAGCGTGTAACGGTAACAGTAACATATTTGGTAAGGCGTACCAAATGCCAAGGTGCCCACTCTACTCTACAGGGTCTGTGCACAGGAGGTGGGTGGGTCATTGCAAGTACTACCCCACTATTCTTCCTTAAGAAATACTCTTGCATGAGCTTTCTCAAGCTTACCTCCATTTAAAGGTATATATTCATCAACTTGATCTTTTAGATAATCAAAAGCATTCTCAGTAGGATGTAAATCAGGAGAGTTTGGAGGCCAGAATCCTACTCTGTGAATTCCTTCTCTTTTCATATAATCTTCAAGTGAACAGTGTGCTTTCAAATGAAGACTAACATTGTCATCTACAATGATTTGATTTTCTGAAAATAAGGAAAGAGAAGTAGGAGTAAAACCATTTCACAGTATAAAAACCAATCAATCCCACCCTTTGAAACTTCTTGGCTTTCTAAAACTCTTCCTCTGCTCCAACTCTCTATATCCCCAAATTCTTGTGATGGTCTTCATGGCCGTTTCCATTTGCTTTTCCCTTCTTGAATATCTCTGTTCAAAGTCTCTATATATTCATATTCAAGAGTTCTAACTGTTCTTGCCTATAAAGCTCATCATCTGCCTTTTTTTGCCAGTATGTATTTATCTCCTGAAGTTTCAACACATTTTGCCGCTATTCTTTAATGCTCTTAGGGATCTATGATAGTGACAGGCGTGAGACAGAGATTTCAGAACTCATTACACCCTAGAACATAACTTGAAAGAGAGATTTCTTCTGTTGAACTGCCATACTTTCTGCTGTTTGACCTTGTTAAACTGTAATTTAGCGTTTCTTATGTGGATTTCCTCCAAAGTTGATATATGACCATCTGAGAATATTGTCATACTGACATTCGTTGCACTCAGTTTGCTATCAAACTCAAGAACAAACTTAGAAATCTCCTCCTTAAACCTATAAGTCACTATACATATTTTGGCTTATCACACCAACAACAAGAGCAATACTACTCAACGATTGCTACAACCCTCTATGATTCATTACATGTCATCGCTCCTTAGTTACTGGGCCAATATGACCACATAGCATATCTCTACAACCCTCTATGATTCATTACATGACATCACTCCTTAGTTACTGGGCTAATACTACACATGACATATCTCTATCAACTAGAGGCCTAGGAACATGAACGATAGCTCCAAAAGCTTTTACAACCCTCTATGATTCATTACACGTCATCGCTCCTTAGTTACCTACAAGATTGGTTAAGTTATGACATAATTTGTCTATAGGGGTACTCTGACCTTGGACCTCCTTTCACTTCCTATAGGCTAGGAACCTAAGAGATGGTTCTATGGGATTCTCTTATGTTCACTACAGCTACCAAGCCTGGTTAGTCATGGAAAGTCTTGGAAAATGAGAGAACTACACTCCTTTAGCATAAATAGGATTGTGTAACGCTGACTTCTAAACGATAGAAGACACAGAGGTTCTCTTGCGTAAAGGTTTACTTATCAGAGGAGGCAGGGGATCAGACACAAAGGCTTCAAGTAACACGTTACTAGTATATAACAAATACTGTATTGAGTTGAGCACGAAGCTCCTATCTAAGAACTAACTATCTACTTATATAGTGGCGTCGTGCCTAGTGGACTCCTGGGAACTCACTCGAGTCCTCGGAGTCCTGGACTCTTAGGATTCTTCTCATCATCCTGCGAGTCCGTCACGTGCCTAGTGGACTCCTGGGAACTCACTCGAGTCCTCGGAGTCCTGGACTCTTAGGACTCTTCTCATCATCCTGCGAGTCCGTCACGTGATACTTTCGGAACTACTATTCCCCGCTGCCCCTCCAGGTACCAGGGCCGGTCTCATGCGACCTCCCTCCTTCCTGTCCTGTAGTTGGCCAGCCTTCTTGTTCCGTCGTAACAGATTGCTCTTTCCTTAAGAGAGGGCAAGCAGACAATACAGTAAATCGACTAGCACATACTTCTATGACTTTTCCAAGCTTCCAAGCATTGATCTTGTTATTCCTTGATTCTGACAAGTCAGTGAGGTGCTAACCTCTGACTTATCCCTGAGTTCTCAGACTCAACATTTGTTACAACTTGTCTAAACCACTCCACTATATCATACACCTGATTGCTGCGTTGTGGAATAGTCTAAGCTACGACCCTTTGGCTCTGTTTCCTAAGACAGTGTGTTGTCTTAGTAAAATCATCCCTTCGTTGGTGGCTAGATTCTCACATCTGGTGCACCCACCATTACAAGCAGTCTCTGTAGTCGGTGCTAGATGGCTCTGCCAAGTCACCTCCTTGATATAGAGCAGGGGAATCAGCTGATGTAGTTCCTGTTCTATGAACTAGAACAGGCGCTACGCATTACCTAGGGGTAGGTCCCCTAGGCATAACGACTAGTGTTCATAAATGAACACTAGCTAAACCACTTGTAGCACCTGCTGCTGCTACTGCTACTCAATTAGGCAGTGACGATACATTGTTGCTGCCTAGGCTGTTGCTACGACGAGCAGCAATAGTAGGAGCACCTCCCTCTCATCCCGCCCTCATCTTCCTTATGTGCTAACGCCTAGCGCTAGTCTTTAGCCTTGACGAGGAGGGCTTCTAAGTGCCTCATTAAGGGTGGCAGGTAGTAAATCTGCCATTTCAGCCCTGCTAATCGTTAGCGTCAATAGGTATAGTAGTGATGGTAGGGTATAGGCACCTTCAATTAGATATTGCCATATATGGCAATTTCTTAGCCTAGAGAGTCTAGCACTAATTTAGGACTAGAGGGGTAGGGGCCCTAGTTACTGTCACATGCTAAAAGTGTGACAGTAATTCAGTTGCTAAATTGCTCCATTTATCTAATACATTCTTAACTTAGATTCACAATCTGCACTAAGGCTTAGTAGTGTAGAAGAAATGGCTAGTAGACTACTTACAGAGTGTAATGTGCTAAAGGTTAGCACCTACTAGGCGGAAAACTTTATAAAGCAACAACCACAGCTATAGATGTGCCGTTTTTAGAAATATGACTACTAAAGGGCCTAGTGCAAGGATCCTAAGCTTATTTATAGCTGGTTTTTACTTGTACAGAATATAATTGCAAAATATAGCATTATAGAGTCAGACATCTTCAATTTCGATGAAACTAGGTTTATAATAGGGATTATGTCTATAGGCACTATGGTTACAACATCTAAAAGACATAGTTGAGCAAAAATGGCACAGCCTAGAGGTTAGGAATGGGTTATAGTAATATAGGGTGTTAGTTTAATAGGATGGTGCGTCCTACCATTGTTGTTGTAGGTAAATTTCACCTTGCATCATGGTATCAAGATGATATAGTACCTTGTAATTAGGTTATTACAACATCTCAAAATGGTTAGATACAAATGAGATAGGGCTTTAATGGATTTAGCATTTCAATAAGCATACAAAATCTCAAACTTCTAGTGCATATCGCCTCTTTTGTAATGGTGGGTGCACCAGATATGAGAATCTAGCCACCCAAGGAAGGGATGAATTTACTAAGACAACACACTGTCTTAGGAAACAGAGCCAAAGGGTTGTAGCTTAGACTATTCCACAACGCAGCAATCAGGTGTATGATGTGGTGAAGTGGTCTAGACAAGTTGCAACAAATGTTGAGTCTGAGAACTCAGGGGTAAGTCAGAGGTTAGCACCTCACTGACTTTTCAAAAACAGAGAATAACAAGATCAATGCTTGGAAGCTTGGAAAAGACGTAGAAGTATGTGCTAGTCGATTTACTGTATTGTCTGCTTGCCCTTTCTTAAGGAAAGGGCAATCCTATTTATGCCAAAGGAGTGTAGTTCTCTCATTTTCCATGACTTTCCATGACTAACCAGGCTTGGTAAATGTATTAGAAATCAAGTGCGACCCACAACTAGCTTGCTAATCATGTAGTGAACGTAAGAGAATCCCATAGAACCATCTCTTGGGTTCCTAGCCTATAGGAAGTGAAAAGGAGGTCCAAGGTCAGAGTACCTATAGACAAATTATGTCATAACTTAACCAATCTTGTGGGTAACTAAGGAGCGATGACGTGTAATGAATCATAGAGGGTTGTAGAAGCTTCTAGAGCTATCGTTCATGTTCCTAGGCCTCTAGTTGGTAGAGATATGCCATGTGGTAGTATTGGCCCACCCCCTTAAGGAGGATATTTTCTTAATAACTTGTTCAATGTTGTTGGTGTGATAAGCCAAGATATGTATGGTGACTTGTAGGTTTGAGGAGGAGATTTCTAAGTTTGCTCTTGAGTTTGATAGCAAACTGAGTGCAACGAATGTCAGTATGACATCTTTGTGTTAGACAGTCATGAAAGTCACTAGTTAGTGGATTTTGGGCTTTACTACAAGGATAACAACATTATCACACTATGTATGCCGCCTCATTTGCTCATATACTCTAGCTTCTTGACGTTAGCTGTTTTGGTCCACTTAAACAAGCATATAGGCGACAAATTGAGAATCTTATACAAGCTAATATTACACATATTACAAAGGATGACTTTATCCTAGCATTTGTTAAGGCCTTTCAGGGATTATGACAGAAAGTAATATCAAAGGGGGGTTTCGCAGAGCAGGGCTTGTCCCGTTAGATGTAGAATGTGTTTTGTTAAAACTAAATGTTCAGTTACGGACTCCAACACCACCTAAGGGGGCTGGCTATTAACATACAAGCACCTTGGGTTTTAAAGACACCAAACAACCTAGTTGAAGCATCTCTAAGTCGCAGTATATTAAAAACCGAATTGCGTATCATCAAAACAGGTCTCCATTAGCAATGTTTGAAGCAATCGATCATTTTGCAAAGGGGACAAGGAAAATGATGCACGAAGTTGTATTACTACGAGCACGAGTTGAAGTACTATAAGAGGCAAACACAACTATAAGCAAGCGTCGTAGAGCAAAGAGAACTCGTATCCAAGAAGAAGGCAGACTTGCTATATTTGAAGGACAAGCTATTGTCGACCAAAGGGATGTGAATAGCAAGTAGTAGAGGAAGCACGCTAGGGTGCAGGTCGTGCAAAGAGGACTAAAGTGAGGGAACGGCGATGTGGAACATGTGGCAACGTAGGGCACAATATGCCTATAGAAGTGCTTACAGACGATGATTTTATTGCATGTAGTTGATATTCTAGTGTTGTAGTTGATTTTATTGGCATTTTGTCGTGTTGTCGTAGTTGGGGTGTTTCACTCGCTTGGGTGTTTCACTCGCATATGGACCACGTTATGGCATGTGGCCAATTTGATTTCTCTGGATGCACTTCGCCACTACTCCTGTTATATGTACTGTACATACATGAACCACCTCCTCCTAACTTGGGATAGACAGCACCAGGCCTGTTCGCTTCGCTCACAGCGGAGCGAAGCGAACAGGTGGTCCCATTGATTAGGAGTAGCGCTGCTGTAGCGTAGCATGGGAGCATTGGGGAGTTCGCATGAGATGGGTATCTCGTGCATCTGTAGTGTAGCCTTGTGAAATAGTGATTGATGTGTCATTTTGTAGTCTACATGATATGTACTATATTGTTACCTTTGCTTCAACAACACTCCCCGATTATATCCAATCTCATTATTATCATCAGTATCCAATCCATATTCTCCTCGTCGGGCTGCTTGGTTAACCCGTCCATTATTATCGCTTCCAGATTATACAAGCTTAATCTTCTCCGTATCAGCTTATGGACTTGTGCACACCTGGGTATTCGCAGGTTAAGCACTCTCACCATGGATATTTATATGGGCCACAGTCACTGGTGAGATATAGGGCAAACTTGCGTCTCCTGTAGGTTAAGGCACACATACCCCTCAGTTTTGCCTTGTAGAGACCGAGGCTCAGCTGCCTGGACGTATCCAAGGCGTAGTTATGTTCAGCGCCCCCTCCTACTATCTCTTATCTCAATCGCCACAAGGATGCCGAATAAGACGATGCACAACTGATCCCAAGGCGTAAGCAACTCCTCTGGCCGAATTAGGAATGGACTTACCAGCAGAACCAACAAACCTATCAGTGTGATCTCGAAACCCCCAGCCAGAGCCTTACCTCGAGTGATGGCATTTTGCTGCTTCCACCACCGGAACGTCCCCAGCATTAGTGTCAGCATCGCCGCGCCCTGACAGATAGCCCCGAGCGGCTTCCCGGTGACGAAGTACCCGATATGCGGATCGGGCGATGTGCTCTTCTGGAGAGTGAAAAGCTGTGAGATGATAACGCCAAGCATGGATAGAGCCTGGGATGTCCTGAGGTAGCCGAGGAACGTACGCTCGAGAGCTGCAAAAGCGGATTAGCCTAGCTCATCTCCTTGAGTACATGCTAAGACGGAAATGAATCTGAAACAGAGGGATCTGAGAAATGATGAGGAAATATAAACGTATATTGGAATACAGCAAGAATAGGATAGAGATCGAGCACGGCCACATGGAAGAGCTATCCTATCCGAGACATGTCGCGGCTTGGCCAATAAGCAACATTTACCACGAGATTGAAGCGCGGATGAAGTGAAGTGCGCATGGCAGGGCCGTATTGAGGCGTCGTCATTCGTTGCGTGCTGGGTTGCACGAGTTCAATGATCAACATTGAGCCTGCGGAAGTTGCTTCTCCGCCATCCAACAGTACCTTGGAAAATAAAAAAGCAAAAGCGGCGAGACATCTTAATCCCGGCCAGCGGATAACACCCTTGCGTGCACTGAACACCCAAGAGACAGATCCGAGACGAGACAGAAAAAGAGAAACAGTGAAATAGCGGGGAGTAGAGGGTTTCCGTACCTAGATGATCTCGATTATGGGCCTGGTCGACGATAACACTGATCTGCCTCCCCCAGAACTTCTTCACCTCGAAGGGCACGCGCGCCAGGCCCTGTGGCGAGTCCAGAGACTGTCGAGAACGGGCGCGCGAGCTGGCCCGGTGGTGAGCAGACGTCACATCGCTGTAGTGCGATCGATAGCGCGCGAGCTCATGCGATTCCATGGCGTATGAGCGACTGGGGCTTATGTCCTCCTCCCGCCCGCTCGGCCCTGCGGCCGCCATAGTGCCTGTGGATAGAGATATGCTCGGTGGATGTATGGATGGATGGATGCCTGTGAGTACATCGAGGCGAGACGTCCTGAGATATGATTTTCTTTGCTGTGGTTGGCGTGGAGAGCAGGATGGGGGTTTTGGATGTTAATTGCGCAATCCGCAACGTGGGCGACCAGGAAGTGGCCGAGAGATCCCGGGTCAAAGCAATCAATGACAGACGACCCTCGCGTTCTCTGTCGACATTTGCTTCGCTTTAATAGACGAAGAAACCGCAGTGGCTCAATGGAAAGTAGATTGGGATAATCAGTCACGTGGAGACAGGGAAGAGGAAGTTTTTTTGGGAAAGTTAAGAGCTAGCCAGTGATAGGTTGGGGTTGATAGGTACGTACCTTTTTATGCAGAGTTGGCCGTGCGTGCCACCGTACTCGAGTATTTTGGTGGGTGGTAGAGTCGCATCGGCGGGTGGGAAATGAACTCCAACTTCCCTTCCTTTATACTCCCTCCACAATCTAGATCGTTTTGGTCCTCGATATTAACGGGAACCTCTCGGGGTTGTCCACCTGGCGAAAACAGTCCAACAAACCCAACAATCCAACAAGGAAATGGGAATTTGGAACTGATATTATATTGAAGGCGGGAGAGCGAGACGGGAAGCACGAGGCACGAGGCACGAGCACGAGGCACGAAGACTGAGGACCACGGCAGACCTAAGCAGCTCCAGCATTGGCAAAAAGGCAGTGACATTCCTGCCTCGATATTATAACATGGAATGAGGAGATCCAGGGCAAGAATGCAGGGCAAGAATGGACTGCGGCGCAGCGTTTATGCTGTATACAGCTTTCACTGCAAGCGTCCAAAGGAGGAAACATTTGACCTTTCTTTATAGTTATCTCCATCATCTGAGACTCATGAGCCGTGGCCATTCCAGAACTGCTCTCCTGTGGTGCCATCCACGCCCATACCGACATATGCTGCATTCATCTATAGCGCTGGTAGACGGCCTACCGGACAAAGGAGAGATCAACTCCCCAATAGTCAGGACTACGTCTTGTGATTCCCGAGCAGACTACAATGGCAGGTTCATGGGGCTGCGTTGATACATTGCGCATATGTATGTCCTCGTCACAAAGAGCCTTCGGCTGGCGTGCCTCCTTTGACACGACCAGGCGGTGCAGTGCAACTTCTATGTACTTACCTACAGTATGGGGTTGCTGAAGTTTAATTCTGTGGGTGTGTGTGCGTAGCACTCATGTGCGCTTCTCGGATGCATCGTGTCCGTTCCACAGGCCCTAGCATCGATGCTACCCTCTCCAGCATGAACTCTTACATACAAATCACGAGTACATCCAGGCCTCACAGACTCGTGGGTTCGGCAAAAAACCCCCCATCATTCCAGAGACCAGAACCCCTCTAACGCACACTTTTTGCACCACAGCGGGCGCTACACAGAAAACTATCCTATGAGAGCGATAGGATATAAGTTTTGGAAGAGCCGGGACATGCATGTCTAGATCGGTCGCTCGGGCAGTAACCCGAGTATGACTATCCAACTCTCGCTCCAATGAGAACGGGTAACTTACTGGCACTTGTGCCCAGCTGCTGTATGCCGCCAGCCGGCATAACTGGGCCCTTCTTCCCCATCGCCCACGATGAGAAATCTCAATCAAGTCCAAAACATCCTAGCTTGCCCCTTCCACCCCAACTTTCTCAAAACTCCCCACATTCTTTGAGCTTCATCGCTGAGGCGGTCCGCCTGCACCGATTCGGCTGATGCATGGGCTATAGCAAACCAGATTTAGCCAATTGATTGCAGGCAGGCGCCTTTGAATCGAGCCATGGCCTCTTCCTGCCACCCTGCACTTGCTGACCTCTCGTCAGCCTCACCGTCACTTAGCTGGCAGGTTGCACTTTCCATCACAGACCATGTTCAACCGTCAGATGCATGGGTATGGTGGCTATAGCGGCGGAAGGAAACCACTTAAATCCCGTTTAGAACCATTAGGTTTGAGATATATCAGCACCGGAGGCAGCTGATTAAAACCTCTTGATACCTCTTTCAGATCTGCTATATATGACAATTGGGAACCGTCTCGCTGTTTCTTTACCATCAACGTCTCTCTGTGTTCATGGTGCCTTACTTCTAAATTCAACATATGCAAAGTCGTTCGTTTATTGACAACAGCGCCTCCATCCTACGTAAAAATCTGGCTTTGTGGCTGTATTAATCGAAAAATCAGCCTCAGGAATAATGACGGAAACTGTGGATCTCCCGGCGCCGGTCGTAGAGGTGACGACTGAGTTGACCGACTGAGTTGACCTTCCATTCCATTGCTACTACTGCCAGAGGCTGCGAAGTCCATTCGCCGTCAAGTCATAGAACGGCCAGCACGCCGGCGTCCGAGCTGTCGTCTATCGAAGCTGTGAAGGGATTTAAGATTGCAAATCTCGGCGTGTCAAAAGAAAATGCTCGGGCCAAGGCTGCTACGTTGTCACTGGTGGAACAGGTGAGTGGCGTTTCCATGAGTTGTTCTCTAAATATGTTCGACAAAGCTAACCAACTCGAAGATCTCGCTGTTGAGAGCCGCAGATCACTGGAGGACTGTTGCAATCCCTAACAAGGGCATTGCCAATATCAAGACTAGTGACGGACCAAACGGAGCCTGCGGGGCAGTCTTCAAGGCCGGCACAAGAGTGAGAATGCATCATTATATCTGGTCGGGAAGGATTATAGCTGACTAATACATAGGCTGCACTGTTTCCCTGTGGTGTCTCCCTGGCAGCGACTTGGGACACAAAGTTACTCTATGAGGTTGGGCAGCACCTAGGAGAGGAAACCAAGGCTCGCTCTGCACACGTCCTCCTCGCGCCAACAGTATGCCTGCACAGAGGCCCTTTCGGCGGCCGTAATTTTGAATCATTCTCAGAAGACCCTCTTCTGACGGGGAAACTCGCGGCATCTTATATTAATGGGCTTCAGCAAAAGGGAATCCCCTATGGAGCATTCAAAGAGAGTCGAGTAAGGACGTCACATATGCTTTGGGCTGCGATATCTACAAATGGACCCTCTTGGCGACACCGTTCTGCAAGGCCCTTACTGGCGAAGGAGGTGTTACCATTGAGTTCTACACCGGCGACAAATTTGAGGGGGAGCCAAACGGTTGTCCAAACAAGAACAAGCACGGCTCTTATGCTGTGGGACTCTGCGCCTACGGAGGTCGGGAATGTCTGGTCTGCCTATGTCAGGGCAAAGCTTACGCCCAAGACACTGGGAAGCACAAGTTCAGTTTCTTCAGCGTTGGCCCCGGACGTCTGTACATTGACGGTAAGCTACTGGCGGATGTAGGGGACTGGACTGAGCAAAGGCGAGACCATGTTCGATGGCTCAGAAGATGTCGTCGTTAAGATTGAACTTGAGACAGGCCGCACGTACGAGCTGATGTGGGAACTCACCAACGAGATCCGCCCCTTGTTGAATCAGATGGCCATCGGCTGCACACATGGCCCTGGAGGTGTGCGCATCGGGTACAAGAAGGAGGAGGACAAGGTGGACCATCTGCACCGATCACCAACTCGGGTAAGGTCGACGGCGCGGAAGTCGTACAGGGCAACGTCCACGACGTTAAGTCGCGACTGGTGCGTCCGGAGAAGGAGCTGGCTGTGTTCGACAAGGTCTTCCTGGAGGCAGGTGAGACGAAGGATGTCGTTCTCACGCTGGATAAGCTCTCGGTTGGATATTACGATACACGCCTCAAGGCCTGGATTGCTGAGGAGGGCGAGTTCAAGATTCTGGTTGGCTCGACATCCGCAGATATACGGTATGCTTACTTTCCTTTTCCGCGTATCTCGATTGGATTGGTGCTAATTTTCCACACAGACAATCGGCTACATTCGACGTGGCTGAATCGTTTACTTGGATCTTCTAAGGGGGACTGTATCTCAAATAGATTTTTTTCTTTTGAATACCAGCGCCTGGACGGCGCAATACCATTATCAGATGTGACGACCCGTACTTTCCTTATGAACGCCAGACTTCCTACAGCTACTAAGAATGCGCGTGGAATATTCATAAATGCAATATTACGAACTACAAACGTGAATTATAGCTATGTAACGTATTTCACATGCGAGTTGCCCACCCAAGCGAGTTGCCCACCGCATTTTACACCCAAAATCATGAATTTTGTAACTAAATATCTCAACAACTATTTAGTTACAAAATTCATGATTTTGGGTGTAAAATTTTGTTTGGCTATGACAGTTCTATTACTGCATCCGGAAAGTGGAGGCCGCGTGGCGGCTTGACATATTGGGAGCCATTCCGCATTTATTACGCAACTGTTCTCCCAACTAAAGTGGTCTAATGTCTCCACATTAGGGGTTGTCTATTGAATTACTCCGTACTGCGATATAAATAAAATGCATGATAGTCAATTAAACCTAAACGGGTCGACAGCCTTGTCGCGGACCTGCCCAGGCCCCCGAATCGAGAACAGCAATATTACCCTCGTCCATTTTTCTTTGCTTCGTTCAATTCTGTTCCAACTGTTTCCTGGATACCTGTCTTTACTATAATATATCTATTCCTTCACGAAACCCGCTGGACGAATTGAGCCGCGCAAGACTGTACTGTACGTCACTGACACCGTCGTTGTCCTCTTCTCGAACCCTCACCAGCCTACACCCACGGCTCCGAGGCTGGGTCCACAGGCATGGCGAGCAGATAGCGCCATGAGCAACAACTACAACCACCTCCGGACGCGCTCCTCGCGCAACCACTTTATAGAGCCTCCGTCAATGGTGTCGCGTATCGTCAATGTGCTTCCGACTCATCTCGCTCTCCTGGCACTTAGGACCCTGGACAAACCTCGCAAAGCTATAGCACAGCTTCCCACCACACTCCGGAATGCACGGCGGGCCGCGCGGCGGCTGACACTGCGCAGCTTCGTGAATGTGCCGAATGGGTTTATTGTTGTCTGGTTTCTGTTGTTGCTGTGGGGGGAGCGGTGGGCGTTCCATAGTGCGATTAAACAGTGCAGATGGGAGAACTGGGAGAGATGGGTGGGTTCTTTCCGCGGTGCGATACTATAACTGGGATTAATGCTAATTATTGGATAGCCTCAAGCTGCGACGCCTCACCACCTTGTTTTCCTCGCGGATCCGCAACTTGTCGACCCGCACACATATACAGGGCGGCCGTGGCCGCTGTCGACGTTTACGGAGCTCCATGCGGATAACTACCTGAGACGCTCATATACGAACCTGCAGCTTAAATTGCAGCCAGACACTATATTCTTCCTCGGCGACCTCTTCGATGGGGGCAGGGAATGGGCGACGATGCGGGGAGATACGGAGGACCCAGAGTGGCAGACAAAACAGCGTGCAAAGGACGAAGCAGCGCTGGTAGGATACTGGAAGAAGAACTACGGCGAGTACTTTTGGATGCAGGAATACGAGCGCTTTGGAAAGATCTTCTTCAGCCTATTTAACCTGGGGAACCCAACCTCGCAGGCGAGCCCCGGACAGCGGGGCCGCAAGATCATCGCGAGTCTGCCGGGGAACCATGATCTGGGCTTCGGGGCGAAGATCAAGATGCCAGTGCGAGATCGATTCGAGGCGTTTTTCGGGGAGGCGAACCGTGTGGATATTATAGCCAACCACACCTTCGTCAGCATAGACAGTGTGAGCCTGAGCGCGGGGGCTGATAAGAGCGAGGTCGACAACCGGGACGTTTACGCACCGGTAGAGGAGTTCCTGGCTGGCGTGCAGGCACGCAAGCGCCGTGCCACAGCGCGGGAACTCCGATACATACGAGGCGAACCGGAGGAGCTTAGGCACCCGAGGACGATTCACGATACGGATGGCCTAGTGCTGAAGGAGAGCGATTTCCTGCCCCTTGACCCAGGGGAGGGGAACAGCAACGACTTCCCCACAATCCTCCTCACCCACGTCCCGCTATACCGCGAGCCCGGCACACCCTGCGGCCCGCAGCGCGAACACTGGCCCCCTGCCACGCCGCCCAAGGGGCAGCTCGGCCCCGTCATCCCCGACCACCGCAACGCGATCTCCGTATCGCGCGGCTACCAGTATCAGAACGTGCTATCGCAGACCGACTCTGCGCGTCTGCTGAAGACGATTGGAAACGTGCAGCACGTCTTCAGTGGCGATGACCACGACTACTGCGAGTTGGTGCATGACGAGGTGAATTCGGGCGTTGGGATTATTGGCCGCGTGAGGGAAATCACGGTCAAGAGTGCATCGTGGTGTATGGGCGTCCGCCAACCTGGGTTCCTTATGGCTAGTCTCTGGAACCCTATTGGCCCTGACGGACGCCCCTTGGGGACAAAAGGAGGCGGTCATGGCGCAGTGAACGATGTTGCTGCACCGACGATCGAGACTCACCTCTGTCTTCTCCCGAACCAGATCTCGATCTTCATCCGCTACATTTTCCTATTCATCATCACCATCTCTGCCCTCCTCGCGCGCGCCGTCCTGACACAGACTATGGGCCTTCCGCCAACCTTGCCACCATCAGTATTTTCCTTCTCCGCGCCGTCGAAAGGGGACAGTCCGCTACTCCCGACCTCGAAGCGCGAGGCTGAGGTACACAGGTCATCAGACTCCTTGACGAGCAGCACCTCGAGCACACTCAGCGGCCATCTTGCGCCGCGGAGTGCAGCGGCGAGAACGCGTAGTGTGAGTCCAGCCGTGGGCTACGGGTTGCCGGCGGTGCAGGCGCAGGGCCGGTATGCGCCGCCTGCCTGGGAAGAGGATGGGGATGAGAAGGAGAAGGGGAAGGCGGGTAGGGAGTTTGGGAGTGAGAGGGCGGTGAAGGAGGGGACGCCGCTGGGGAGGATAGGGAGGGAGTTTGCGGAGAGCGTATGGAGGGTGCTGTGGGTAGCGGGGTCGTTGTTTGTGTGGTTAACTTGGAGCGGGTAGGGGGTGAGGTTAATGATTTATTTTTGGATACTTGGTGGCGCTTGTGTGTGTTATATGAAGCCATCATCCAAGGGCACATAGTGGACATATTGATGGCAGCTGAAGTCGGAGAGGAATTCGATGGTTGGTATAAAAGGAGAAATGAAAAAGGCTTATACAACGTACGGTACATAATCCTGCCAGCAAGCTGTTGGAGAGAACGTCAAGACACTGCCTCCGAGAGACCCCTGTACATAAACCTAGGTGACCTGGTTCACAAATAGTTTCCGAACTTCCGACCTACGACCCTCTGTTAACAACGACAACGACAACACCAACACCAGATGGTCAGCTCACTTGTGAACTCCAAGCTGGTTTATGGCCACCATGCGAGCTTTCTTGACGCCACTCCGTCTTCTCGGTTCCACACCGGCTGCTCGTCACCACACCAGCTTGTCATTACCACCCGCTCCGACGACATCAGCCAGCGGCTGTTGTCGTCGACATTCGCAGTTATTAGACCTCGGAATTTGAAGGCAATGTCGTCGAATTCTCGAGTTGCAACTGTGGCCTGTCGGTCTATGGTGGGAAAGCCTGGGCAAGGCTGTGCGAAGATAGCTGGAGTGGCAGAGGTTTGATCGCTAAGAGACGTAAACAAGCAAGGCTGATTGTGCAGAGAAGGTGTAAAATAACAGTAGACGATATCAATGAGTCTGTTGTATATAGCCAGATTTGACTATATTATCACACCCCTCCCTATAGACAAATTATCCCTTGTCCCCTCCCATTAGGGGTCACAACACACCACATAACACCGCTCCTACCGCGACCCATTCGTCCGATTCATATCCCCGACCCGATAACAGCGCCTAACATGAACAACACGAGGAAGCTGACCCAACCCGCCTCCCGAGGTCCATAACCCCATCAAACCCCCTTAAACTCCCTCCAAAAACACCCGAAAATAAAGAATAATATATGACGATAAATGACCGTTAGATGATGAGATATACTGGCGCCGCGCTGAATGAAAGCTGGACAGATAGATATGTGGATGGTAGTCGGAGTGAAGATATGTGGTGATGACAAACGCGGCGGTAAATGTTGATGATGATAGATGGATGAGGTGATCTGACATGGCCATGGGGTATTAAGCGTTAAATGCAATGAAAGCGTATAAACAGCGCGCCGATGATCCAAGCTAGAACGTGAAATTCACATTCCCCAGCGACGCAATAATCTTATCCTCGTCCGTCTCTGTCGCCGAGCTAGTCGCTTGGCTGCTCCGCGTAGGTGTCGGCGTGATGCCGTGCTCGGTCTCTGGATCATGCGTATGCACCTCCCCCAGCATCGTGCTCGAATCTTCAAACTGGTGCCGTCGCGCCTTCGTGCGATCCGCCAGACTCACGCTGCTGGCCTGCCCGACCCCGTTCTCCTGGATGTCCTGGAAGCTCCAGCTAGGCTGGAAGGAGGTTGAGTGCCAAGCGTGGTCGACGCGCTCGTAGAGCTCGTCGATCTGCTCGAGCGAGATCTTGGAGGTCTCGAAGACGAGGAACCAGACGAAGAAGAAGGATGCGACGCAGAAGGCGCCCCAGACGAAGAAAACTTTGGAGCCGAGGTCGGCGTAGCCGGGGCCGTTGTTCACTAGGTGGGGTGTTGCGTAGGCGATGGCCCAGTTGAAGAGCCAGTTGGTGGCGGTGGAAATGGACATGGACTTTGCGCGGACTTTGAGGGGGTAGATCTCTGAGGTGACAACCCAGACGACAGGGCCCCAGGACATGGCGAAGAAGGCTATGTATACGCAGACGAAGGCCATCATGACTTTATTCCAGACATGGTCGTCAGGCTGGGCGCCAAATGCGGTGCCGACTATGGCGACTATTAGCTGGGACGCTGCCATTCCGACAGCGCCGACCAGGAGAAGGCGGCGTCGGCCCCAGGCTTCGACGAGAAACATGCCGGGGACGGTGCAGACGACGTTCACGACAGTTGTCACGAGGCCGTACGTGAATGGCGACTCGATCCCGGCACGTTTGAAAAATGTAGTACCGTAGTAGAACACAAAATTGCAGCCACTCAGCTGTTGGAGCATTTGTAGGCCACAGCCAGTCATTACCCTGAATCCGAGATGAGGCGCGCCGCGGAATACATCTCGATAGGTGGAGGGCCCAAGAGAGAGTTCGTAGGCATGGTTAGCTTCAATCTCTGCTATTTCCTCGATTAAGGCCGGATGAGTGATATCAAGACGCCGAATTCGAGAGAGCGACGCTGCAGCTGCCGCGTGCATCTCCCGTTTGATAAGATATCGAGAGGTCTCGGGGAGAATAACCAGGCCGATAAAGAGGATACCAGCCCACAGGAGCTGTATGGCGACAGGTATCCGAAAGCAGTTGGCGGAATCTAGATTTGAGGTGAGGTAATTCACGACTGCGGCGATAAATAGGCCGACTGTAATAGCGAGCTGGTAACAACAAACTAACGCTCCACGAATCCATTTTGGTGCCATCTCGGATTGATACAATGGGACAAGCACGGATATCGTTCCAACGCCCATGCCAGCAAAGAATCTAGAAAGTGTTAACTTGGCCAAGAGAGGGGAGCTACGTCCTATGCATACCTTCCAGCGGCAAAGATGCGAATCGTGTTTGAGGCTGTCTGCATCGCGACACCAAATGCGAAGACCAGTACTGCCAACATGAGAGATTTCCGACGCCCTATCCTATCACCAATCGGGGCGGCGAGTAGGGCCCCAAAGAACGTCCCCGCGCTGAGTATCGACACAATTTCGGACGACTGTGTCGGCGTTATAGAAAGTAGGCCGTCGCTGTCCCTACTGCCCGTCGAGAAGTGGTCGAGCCACCATCGCATAGCAATGATGCCGCTGATCGTGCTACACGTCCCAAAGTCAGTCCATGTGCCATGTGCCAGTCTCGCGCACAGCGCTTACCCAGTATCGTATCCAAACAGTATGCCTCCAAACGCGACGAAGGCTCCGATCATGATCGCAGGCGCCGGGGAACCGGCTGCGCTTTCGGGCTTCCGCCATGCTGTCAAGTCGAACACCACCATTGTCGCGGCGATGCCCTGTCGAACGGCTGGTCGTGTGTATCGCGCAAAGCGTAGCCAGTGTCGATTTTTTCCCTCCTACAACCTATTGGCCGTTACTGGAAGCAGTACCGATCGTAACAAGCGGCGTCTTTGAATTCGAGGGCATCAGATTTGACTTCGCGACGAAGGGTCTCATTGAGCTGACTTGACGAAGGCGAAGGGTTCTCTCTTCGCGCAGGGTACTCGGGGTTGCTGTATCGCAGTCTCTGGTAGAGGGTCCGAAGATGACCGACCGAGGCTTATAGTTGGGATTCCCAGAGATAGTGTCGCAGGTGGGATTGCCTGGATTGTTTCGAATGGGGCGAGGAGAAGGTGGGTTGATGGTTGAAGTGGTTGAAGCACAACTGGGGGTCTCTGGGAATACGGTCGAGACGCCTATTTGGCGGGGGGGGAGGAAGGGAGCGAGCGGATCGTAGGTGCCAGGAGCATGCCGGACAAGGGCACAGATGGCCGTTAATTTAATGGAATGTGGCGAGCGAACCGGCACACGGCATAAAATGACCGGGCGTTATATTAGAGTCCTAACTTACCATAATTACTATAATAAGACATCCCCATACCATTACAACCCTTCACTCATCCCCAGAGACTCTCCTCTATACACACTTTGCATCCGTCACCGACTCTGTTTACTCTATGTCATTTCCACCGTTTTACTACACAGAAACTACCTAATTATCCCGTGCGTGCCGGGCTGCTTTGAGCATTCCATGGCGGAAACTCCAACCACTATGGTTGGCTCCCTGCCTTTCTCCTCACCACTTGGCGTTTCTGGGGTCTCTACCACTCTCCCATCCTCGTCCAAGTCTGACAAGTCTCTCCCCATCCCTAGATGTTCATGTTGTGTGAAATGAGCTACTGACAGGTGATAGGACAGCCTCGATTCACATTCAGGCCAGTGAACCTCTATCCTGATGAGCAGTCACTTCTGACCCATCCTTTATGCCAAAAATAACGGCCCCTAGTGTCGTGAGTGCGGCAAAGAAGAAATGAGGATTTTCTGGGGCTACAGAGCAGCGCTGCACAGTACGTAGGATTGCTTATCCCAAGGATACAGCACCCCTACCTCTATTCCGGCGCATGACTGAACTGGTCATATACCATGAAAAGTTGGATCCTCATCCTACCTCGCTCTCTTTCCTTGTTGTGCCGAAGCCACGCCGAGTATATCTCTTCTCTGCGCACAGTCATACACAGCATAGCCATATATCCCGTATGCAAGTTGTTATTTTCTCTGAAATCTCACCAGCCTACGTCCCTAAACAGAGTCCCCTACCCACAAACATCCCCAGACTTAGTCAAGCGAAGCCATTCATCCAATCCCGCCCATGCGAGCAAAATGATCGGCCACCACTTCTTTCCGGCTCCACTTTCCTACATGTCGCAGAGGAATGCTTTTGATGAATCACACTCCAGTTCCTCAGATCACATGACTGAGAGCTGGATATCTCAATTTCTTTGTCTCTCATGCCCTTCCTACGTCTATGCTGGAGCGACAAGGGATAATGGGTTATTATGCGCCGCTTCTTATTATTGCAAAACCGCGCTCGCAGCATATCTTCCTGTGGTTTCCACAACGATCATTTCATGATCTCAAAAGTATATGGCCAAAGCCTGAGGCTAGTGAGAATAGATATTTTTATTCCGCATGCACAATCTCTCAGGAGTAATTGTTCATTTTTTGCTTTGCACGCCGGTTGCGAAGACATTTTCTCTCTTTGTCCTTGGATATGTCTTTACTGTTCAACTGCCGCATGCGGCGACGAGTAGGAGATCTCATATTTTACTTGATGGCAGTCATGGCCATGCGCAACATTCGTTCTGCCATCTTCGTTTTGTTCGTAGATTTACAGAAGTCGAATTTCACACTTATTCTCCCTAACGACGGCCCTCACCATGGATCCTTTCCGAAATATAAATAATTATATGGTCAACTCGCGTAACCAGGTTGCAGTAACCCATTTACTTAAGTATATGGAACGTACGCTCCTGACAAACATCGAGGCGTCACTTTTTGACAGATTGGCAAACCTTCCATGCGGTCCCCCGTTTAGAGAGTCGGTTTTCGATCGAGCCTTGGGCTTCTTGCGTGCCCAGTATGATGAAGAAAGAGATGCCGCGTGGGCTATCGCCCTAAATCCCTGGGAATGTCGGCTGCTAAATCGTACAACTGGAGCATCATTTACCAAAGTTTTCTGCACCAATCTCTACATCCCGTTCGATGGGTGTTATGAGAATAAACGAGATGTTGGGCGACTAGACAACTTCCTTACCAATTTCGGTGGCCTCGCAGCTCGAGCGGCAAGCGGTCATGCCGTTAGAGGGGCGATTAACCCATGGCATATCAAGGAACTGGTATTTTGTCAGGACCCTCTATTCTCAAGTACGGATATTGGGTCGGTTCGTGACCTGTCACGAGCTAGATCTATCAACCACTTCCTAAAACGCCTCCGCGAAGACCGGGAGGGGGGATTGTTACCGACGGTAACTCCAAAACGAATAAAGGCGTATGCAGAGATATGCACCGAAGGTCACCTGCAAGAAATGGAAGCGATGTTTGGATATGATCCCAACAAAGTCTGTCTGATGTGGCTCAGGATTATTGAGTTGCTCAAATATTTGCCAAACCTCGAGGTATTTAAGTAGGTTAATAGCAAGCCCATAACGGTTTCCCGCATGCTGACAAGCTCACAGATGGCAATCCGACGCCCGAGTCGTGGAACCCTTCCTTTCGGCCATTTCCCACTATTGCAAGAAGCTTACGGTCCTGGAGATTGAGCTCCACAATGGGTTTGACAACAACGAGTATATGATTAATGCATGGAATAGGTTCTACCTGAGCAAGACTACCGGCAGATTGTATCAATCGCACCGGATATTAAATGAGCCGGTGGCGAAACACATATGCCAATATATCTCGAGAGATCCAAAGGATAGGGAGTCAGAAGAACTCCCTACGCAGTGCCACATCAATCTCAAGCTTATTCTTAAGATGGACCGTGATGTACAACCTATCATTGAGACGGTCGGGAAGTATACCCGGCATGTGCAATCGTTGTACGTCGACCGTTCCAAATCCCATGAATTTATGGACGACAACAAAAAGAGAGAGCATGGACGGCCGTATGAGCGCTCTTGGTTCCACCTACAGGTCAGTTACCCATCATCCCCAGTACATATCCGCTTCTGACATTATGAGAATCTTAGTATGGCGTTACCCATCTGTCTCTTATAGGCACCGACGCAACCATGCACAACTGCATTATGGGAGCCATATTTCCAGCTTCGATTGAGAGTCTTGAAATCAAAGATTGCCAGTCCCTCGACGGCGTCTACCTCCCAATTCTTTCCGGTCCAAACCGGCTTCGGAAATTCAAAATCTCGTTCCCGCCGCCCGATGAGGCCAAGGAGCGTGCCTACAGGTACTGGCGGCACTACGTGTTCCAGAAGCAGTTAACCCTGGACTTCCTCCGCTGCGACACGATAGAGCTGGACGAGCTGGACATCCGCGGGGATTTTGGGGATCCCTCATTGAACCCCGTTGAGTTCTCGGGTCTGTCAACCGACCTCTTCTTTGCCGTCGAGGCTCAAGCCAAATCCCTCGTAAGCCTGAAGGTCCTCAATAACAATATCGACTTTACGCTGGCGGAGATAGGGAGTATTATAGTCCAGGCGGAGAATCTCACGCAACTGGGTCTCAGCTGCCGCGCATTCAGATACCAAGACCAGTTTTGGCACTGGATCGAGCAGGGTCTCGGAGTGAGTTCTCCCACCAAATCCTCTCCATATCTACTAAACCTCCTTCCAGACCCACCGCAACTTCGAGCGCCTCCTCGCCCTCCTCGGACAAAACGAGAACCCCTTCTCCCTCACCATCCTCCGCACCCACTACCACATCCTCGACCTAGCAAACTACGAACGCGACGGCGCCGACCGCCTCATCGTACCCACGCGCAGCGTCATCGACTACGAAGTCATCGCCAAGAAGATGGTTGAGCAAGGCCTGCCGCTCGCGCACCTCGGCATCTTCGCCGAGGGGGAGAAGCACGGGTATGGGATTTATGGGGCCCAATGGGACGAGTTCCTGTATGCGTTTGAGCTGCTGGATGCTGAGCTCCATCTGCAGAACGTGCTGGAGGGGACGGTTGCGATGTATAGTGAGTTTGAGAAGATTAATAGAAGGTGGATTGAGGATTGTGGGGTGGCTATGCCGATTCCGGTGCAGGATCCGCCGAATCGTGAACGGGAGATTTGAATGCGGGTGTTTGGTGGTTGTTTGGAGATGTCTATATGGAATGTGCTATGTATGCTAAGTTGGACAATTTATTTGATCTTTTCTGGCATCAGACACTGTATTGGTGTGTAGATCTCCTGTGAACTCGAACCCCAAGTTACAGTACGACTATCATATGTGTGTATGTACCTAAGTACCAGGAAATGCGGGTGACGGCGGACCGACGCTGAACTGTCACATGATTGGCTATTCCCCTCCAAGACGGGCGCTACCTCAACACAAGACACCCCATCCTGATTGGCTGCATGCATGTCACCACATTCCGGGCGCTTACAGCCCCGTGCCAGCACACTTCGATTTCTCTGCGGCCTATAACCCAGGCCAGTCGCCCCCATCTTCCTCTTTCCTCCATGTGTGCGCAATCGTTCATCATTCTCGTCGATATCAACCATCGAGCTGCCGTCCATTCCCACAGCGGCATCTGATGAGTCTTCATCAGCGAGCGAGGGGCATACTAAGGTCGCAAAATAATCACGACACGGCGTCCGTAGGCCCGACAGCCCATCGCCGGTCGCTATCCTGATTCTCTTTCACGCTCGCTCGCCATAATGTTCATCTCTATGAAATGGAGGTGCTTTTGGGTTATGACTGGGCTCATGGTGGCTGAGTTGGCGGGGACCATCGCTACGTTGACACTATTCGGTATTGCGAGCCCAGACGCCTATCGTACTCAGCTATGGAAGCTCGGCGGCGAGCTGGGCTTCAATTCGAGTCCGGACCAGATCTTGTACGCATACGCAAACTATCGGCCGATACCAACGACACCGCTAGTTTGGTCTAATTTGTGAGTGTGGACTGCCACTCCTTGTGCTGCGAGTGAACCCGAGTGCTGACTGCTCCCAAGCATCACCAACTACAACATTGTCGTATCTGTTTTGTCAATGTTCATTCTGCTTATCAAGGCCGTCCTATTTATCATGCACATGTGGATCCCGATTGTCAGCATAATAATCGACATAATTGCCATTGCTCTCTGGAGTTTCAGCGCGTATGGCCAGGCTGGTCCTGACCATTCCGACCCAGAGCACCCGAGCTCAGTTGCGTGGTATATCGCCAAAAGCTGCAGCGTCGCTGAGGCGTCCGGAAACAAGCACAACTGCGAGATGGCAAAGGGAGCATTTGCATCCACCATCCTCATAATGTATGTATCCCCGCCCAACCTGACGTTTCCACAACTAACAATTCTTCAGCGCTCTTTTCACATTTAACCTCGGGCTGGGCATTTGGTCCATGTTCCCAACAGAGGAGATGAGGGAGACGAGGAAGGCTAAGAAGGAGGAGGAGCAATTATCGCCGTATTACGAGGATGCGGGAGAGAAGCTGTGGGAGTTAAGGAACATCCAACCTACACCGGCCTTTTCGCCTTATACCCCACGGACGTTGGCGTTCAACACATTAGACCGTCAATTACCTCTTCGGGAGAAGGAACAGAACCCGTAGATAAACCCCAGGATGACGATGGGCTCAATGGGCCATTGCCGGGCCCTGAGTAACTATTACCTTTTGTGGCCATTTACGTTTTGTAGTGGCGGAAAGCGAGAAGAGAGATCAAGGAAGGGACTTTACTCTATTCAAAACTCTTATGAATATACAAAGTGATAATAGGCTCCAGACAGTACCAGCAGGGACACTGACGATGCGAGCTGCGTGTGATTCTGAACGATCTTACATTAGGGATATCCGCATTCCACGTATCCATCCCGCATTCCCGTTTCCTTGTTTGCCAACTCCCTGTCCTCCCTCACACCCGTCCCCGTCCCCCCAAGTCCTCTAACAAACAAAAAATTCTCTTGTCCCCATGCCCACCCCCCCGTACCACCATCCTCAAAAAGTGCCCGTCGCCCTGCTCTTTGTCCAACTCCCAAATCCCTCCGGAAACTTGGAAAAATCTCGCACCCTACATATCTCCCCCAGCCCACCACCACTACGAAAGAAACGAAAGAAAGAGAAGGCATCATGAACATCTTCACATTCTTCTGCGCTCCCGCTGCTTCGACTTTCACTGCAAACCGGTGCAGACATTGTAACGAGGATCACGGAGCGCCGCAGACGCAGGGCGAGCAGCAGTTGTGGCCGAATTACGGATACGTCGTCGATACGGAGACGTTTGCAGTTCCTGTTGTTCGAGGCGTTCGATACGTTCAGCAACCACTTCAACAACCATTCCAGCATACCCAGCACTTCCATCATCCAGCCCAACAACCCCCTCACCCCTCCCCTCAACCCCCAACAATGCCTCACACAGCCCTCTACACCCTCCTCTCCCTCCCCCCCACCGCCCCCCCTTCCACCATCAAAACCACCTACCACCGCCTCGCTCTCCTAACCCACCCGGATAAAAACCCCGACCCGGACGCTGCGGAACGCTTCAAAGCCCTCAGTGCGGCGTATGGTATTCTTTCGGACCCGAAGAGGCGCGCTATTTATGATAGATATGGGGAGGTGGCGGCAGGGAGGGAGGCGGCTTTTGATGAGGGGGGGGATTTGGTTGTGGGGGAGGAGAAGGAGGGGGAGACGGAGGGGGAGGATGCTGCTGGTGATGGGAAGAAAGACAAGGGTGGTAGCCCTGGTGGTGGAAGGGGAAGGACTACTGTCGACAAACCCCCTCGCCCCACCTTTGAGGCTCGTACTCCCTTTGAGGAGCCAGTCGTAGAGCAAAGCACGTATGAGGAGCGCCTCCTTGAAGCTCTACGCGCGGCTCATGAGCGAGGGATCGAAGAAGAGGCTAGGAGAGCGGCCGGACGAAGGTTGTACGAGCGCTTCTGGCGAGGTGTGAGAGGCCATGGCATGTGGGGTTGGACGACGAGAGGAGTCGATGATTCATGGGGGGTGATGGGAGATCCGATGGCGTGGAGGCGGGCGAGTGTGGTGGGGGGCCCGATGGAGGGGTATCGCGGGATGTATGATGGTGGTTGGGCGGCGGGGGAGGTTGATGAGGGGCTGAGGGAGAGGTTTCGGCGGTCGCGTGCGGGGGGGGAGTGGAGTCCGTATGGGGGGTGGGAGAGGGGGGGTGAGGGGTATGGGAGGGTGAGGAGTTGGAGTGAGGGGGGAGGGGGAGGGTTTGTAAGGGTTGTGAGGGGGGGCTATGGAGGTGGGAATGCGGGGTATTAATTGGGCGTGTTGTTTTGAAAAATTGTACGATCTTGGGGCCAAAGAGAGGAGGGATAGATAGAAGACCGGCGCAGATGGGTTTCTAGAATGGGGGACTTCTTTGTGCGCGAGCGTGGAGCACTCACTTGGTTATTATTTAGAAAGGCACGTGTATCATGAAACTAGGATATCATTCGGAATTTTTTAATACATAGAAAATCTCCTCTGACTTCTCGAATATGAATTAGTATATCTCACATGCCCATCCCATAACCAAACCCGAACCCCATATAACGCCACCCAGCCCCATATATAGAGCCAGTCCCATCCCGTCTTATGCCCTTCATACACTCGGCAGTCCCAATTCTATCACACCTCACCCCTTCTCACCCTATCCCTACGAGTAAAATTGGCTCTTCTGGAACCCCTCAATCCCCTCACCACCATTCATCCCATTCCCCACACTACTCATCGTGCTCGTCCTCGACTCCGCCCCCTTCCCCGCCACGACCGCGCCCACCCCCGCCTTCCTCGCCTCCCCCAGATACACACCCGGCAAATACCCCACCCGCCCATCACGCGCCCGACACCTCCACCACTCACTCGGCTGACCCAACGGATCACTCTTACTCAGCACAGCGACCAAATCGCCCTTCGCAACCGCCAAATCCACACCCTGCACCGCCGCGCCCGACTCCGGCTTGAAGTCATACAGCACACGGCAGTAATCCAGCTGCGCGGGATCGAGCTGCGGAGCCGGCAGCGGCTGGCCGTCGGGCCCGAATTGGACGCCTTGGGCTTGGAGGCGGGCGCGCTCGGCGGCCTCGTTGGAGGCGGCGAGGGAGCGGATCAGTTTGCCCATTAGGTAGGGGAGGCCGAAGGCGGCGAGGAGGAAGACGACGAAGGGCTTTTTGGAGAGCTTGGGGGGGTGGGAGGGGTGGCCGTCGGGGAGGGGGCGGCCTTCGAAGGAGGCGAATGCCGCGGGGGTGAGGGCGGTGGCGTCGGCGGGGGGGGGCCGGCCGGTTAGTTTGGCGATGAGGGTGCGGAACCAGCGGAGGATGGTGAAGATCCCGAGGATGGATCCGAGGGTGTTGCGGAGGTTGCCGAATTGTTCGGCGACGGAGACCATGGCTGGGGAGTGTTAGAATGGGGGTTGTGGATGGAGGGGGGTAGGGGGGGGGTAGGGGGGGCTTACCAAAGAAAGAAGAGTGTGTTGCCATGTAGGTGCTCTCGAGCATCTGTGCGAAGCCTCCAAATGCACCGACTATGCTCTCGATGATCTGGAATGTAGCCTGTGTGCTCTGGCTGAAGCTGTGGGTGAGGCTATTTGGGTCGTTGGGGTCCATTCCCATCCCTCCCATGCCACCCATACCGTAGCCTCCCATTCCTCCCATCCCGCCGTAGCCGCCCATTCCACCCATTCCGTATCCGCCCATTCCACCACCATACATTGAGGAGCCGTAGCCTCCCATCCCTCCCATTCCGCCCATGCGGGAGTAGGGTGAGGAGTAAGAGGACATACCGCCCATGCCGCCCATTCCGCCCATGGTGCTGCCGTATGGCGAGGCGCCGAGTCGGTTCTGTCCGTATGGAGAGTATGCCGATGCGTTCTGGTTAACAGTCGACGCGAGTGTGGACGGCCTTTGTGGGATTAACGGTGCGGATGTGGTTAGTGCTGTTGATGTTGCCACTGCCGGTAACGATGGTGCGGACGATTGTGGCATCACTGAATGACAGCGTTAGCAGAGTCCCTTTAGCATCCCAAGATGAAAGTGTCGGTCTCAGAACTTACCAGAAGTAGCCGCTCCAGCGCCCGCTCGCTCCCATGGCTTCGGTGGGCTTGCGCTCGCCATTGCCTCGATTTCGTTTGATGCCGCGGCCCTACGCCTTGCTCGCGCTTATAGCTGCTTTGCACGTATACCCGTTAGATCTACGGCTCAGTGTAGTCGAGCAGTAATCTATGGTGTATATTGCGATGTCGTGATGTGGCGAGCCAGATGATTAATATCCTGCCGGCGTTCGCTGATGGCCGTGTTTTGTGGGGAAGATGCCTAGTGTACCAAGTATTCAGATGCGCCGCTCTTCTCTCTCCTTCTTTTATTCGCAAGACGCTCGCTGTGCGAGTATCTGTCGCTTCAATGTCGCTGCCGTAATCTTGGCCGCTACTGGAGTCATACAAGAGAAATGAAGTTCGAGGCGTGGATGAAGACGATATCACCAGCATAATGATGAAAAGATCCAAGTTCCTCGGGATTCGCCCCCGGTAGAACGTGTTTGGTGTCTTAGTCATCTCCCATGTGGTTAGCCTGGCAAACAGGCCGAGGTCTGTTTGCAATTGTGGGGGATCCCCAACCAAAAAGTTGTATATCCACGTGACTAGTTAATTCACCGAGCCGAAAGTATAAGTTAAAGGGGCTGATCGAATACACGTGACATCACAAGCTGTTCGTGGTTCATTATCACATTTACTATGGCTTGAATGAAGAAGAAAGCTTAGCAGCCTTGCTGAAAGCTCATCTACAGCGTTTGGAAGTAGAGTAACTATATATTATCTACCTCAAAAAACATTCACCCATCATTTATATAACAACCGCCTAAATGGCACCCATCAAGCTGTGGTACTCATCCGGAGCATGCTCGCTGGCATCCCACATTATCCTGAACGTCGTTCACGTCGTTCAGGATAATGTGGGATGCCAGTGCCTGCCTCGTTTAGTGAACGAGGCAGGCATTGAATTCGAATCAATAAACTGGAGGTCCATGCCGGGTACCCCGTGGAATTCTGCCACATCAATCCCAAGATGCAAGTCCCAGTCGTATCGATTGATGGCCAAACTATCACCGAGACTCCTGCCATCATGACGGCAGCTCGTCCCAGAAAAGCACCTTCTAGGCAAAACCAAGCTTGAGATTGTTCGGGCATACGAGTCTATCAAAGCCAAGTCACTTCTGACTGTTCAGGAGTGTTTTGCTACCATCGACCAAGATCTGTCGAGTAAGCATGCTGTGGGCTCGAGCTTTACAGCTGTGGATGCGTACTTGTAGGTCTTTTATAGCTGGGGAGCATCGTTGGGAATTGATATGAAGGGGAAGTATCCTAAATATACGGACTTGGTTGCCAAGTTGGTACAGCGCGAGTCGGTGCAGTCTGCACTGAAGGCTGAAGGAGTGGAATCCCATGTCCCTCTATCATAAGTAGCAGATGAGATCCCAATGAAGCGGTGTCATCAATACAGTCAACTCACGATAAGTCGATATACGATTACCCGATATTTACGATATCTCGTATTTTCCTGCACAGTCCGTTTTTAGACCTGATTTCCGATTTCCACGATATCGGAACCCTATTCCTGGATATCGACTTATGATAGCACCTGGATCAGCCTTCAGAATGCCTACGAAGCTCAATTCAATGACAATTGAGCAGCGCCGTGCTCTCCGGACATACTATCAACAACAGCGCCCTCGACCGTCTCAGAAAGCCCTAATCGCCTGGTTCTACGACAAATATAACATACGAATTAATCAACAGTATCTGAATCACTCAGCGCTCGATTTGCTAGCTTAGACAGTACGCCACTCATCTCAACCAACACTGAAGGCTCTCGCCGATGAGCAATAGCTTGGCCACTCTTAGAGACAGTCCTTTTCAAGTGGCAGAAGCTAATTGAAGAAAGGGGAGTCTTTACATCTGGCGAGATCCTATCACAGAAAGCAAAGCAGATCTGGAATATCATTCCAGAAAACCAAGGGCAGCCAACACCAGAGTTCAGCCTTAGATGGGTCTCAAAATTTAAGTAACGGCATCAAATACAATTTCGAACTCGGCATGGCGAAGCTGGATCAGTACCAACATCTACTTAAAATGAGATGAGGGCTATTCAAACTGTTGCTAGCGACTTTCAAGAGGAGGATATCTATAACATGGGTGAGACTAGCTTATACTAGAGAATGACTTTGTCGAAGGGTCTTCTCTTACAACAAGGATTACCTGGTTTAAAGAAGAAGAAATATTAGTAGCTATTTGCGTTAATGTAGCAGGAACAGATCGGTTTCCTCTTTGGTTTATTAGAAAGGCAAAGACACCTCAAGCACTTCGAAGAGTTAATATCACAGTAATGGGAGGAGTTTAGAGGCACAATAAGAAGGCTTGGATAAATCAATTCATTATGGCAGAGTGGCTAAGTGCATTCTATTAGCATGTTGGATCTACTCAATCTATTCTACTTACAATGGATAATTTCACAGCTCATATTAAAGCCGTTGATTCAACACCTCCGCCATTAAATATTCAGATTATTTGGCTTCCTCTAAATGCAACAAGTCGATTTCAAGCTTTAGATCAAGGTGTCATAGCATCATTAAAAGCTCATTATCATCAGCCATGGCTTTAATATATGTTAGAAGCATATGAACATAATCAAGATGTAACAAGGCCTTCTCGTCTCTCATTCTAAGGAGCAGACTCTGGGTAGCTGCGGGGTCACGTGTGATCATTTGGGTGGGCTAGTCGGATGGGTTTCGGGTACTTGAGGGAATTGACTCACAGGGTTCCCCCTTCATCTTTTTTGTATCCTTCGTAGTAGACCTATAGGATAGCATCTGTTTAGCCTCCGACTCGCACTCCCATATGCTATTACTGTGAGCTGGGTGCCCTGTGTCCTTACACAAGATCCTTTACAAACAATGAACCTCCACTTTGCACTTCAGTGGCTTATTCAAGCATAGAATTACAACCTTTCAAATACGACTATTTATAGCTGTTTTCAGAAAAGCACAATTCTATAGCAGCCAATTCAGCTTCTAATCCACCCATTTCCAAATATGGATCACCTTTATCAACAAGTACAACAAGCTGGCCTTATTTATCATGCAATGGATATCTCGAACTTTCTAAATCTAGTAGAGGAGGACATACAAGAGGCAGAGGAAGAGCTAGACGAGGATGGACTTTTAGAGGATATAATTTCACAATATATCCCAAATTCTAAACCTTAAGATGTTGAGGAAGAGAATGAGCTGCTTGTGCAGCCGCCTATGCTTACACCACAGACTGTCTTAGAGGCCGTTCAAACCTTAATTGAGTTCACAGAATCTAGGAATAGTAGCATAGTGACAATAGAAACAACGGCATTTCTACATTCATTTGAACGCTATAAAAGGCATCTAAAGCTTCAATTGGTAAATCAGAGTGTTTAAGGGACACTAGAAGGGTGGATTACATAAGGCAAATAACAGTCATGTGAATTTCGATATCTCGATATTTACATTAACTCGATATGTTTACTTAACACGCCCTACATCGACTTATCGTGAGTTGACTGTAGTACCTTATAGGCAACGGCCCATTTTTTAGATGCTTATGGCACTCTTTAATAGGGTGCTGGCCTAATTTTACATAGGTGATTTGTAGGCTATATGATGCTCGTTAAAGCAGTCTAGGACTAGTTGCCTAGTACAATATCTCCACTATAACAGTATTCAACACTATGATAGGCCTCTTAAGCGGTATCCATGTCACTAATATCCTTCAAAACTAAGCTAATACACTTAGTGCTCTATGAGAGAGTATGGAAAGAGCTGTAGCGTCACTATAACAGGATTGTTTCAAAACTATTCCATAGTAATTCAATACAATATCGTTCCTTATGTATAAACATATACATGTCATATACAAATCATAATCTTCTAGGACAAATATGAATTACTTTATCCTATTTACAGCTTTGTAATATACAATGACAGTAGTAAATCCATTCATGACCATGAATCCTCCACTATGCCATACGCCATAAAACATTGCTGTAAAAGGGGTACTGAAGTAAAGCTGCTACTGCCTTATTTAGAATGAGCAGTCAAAAGAGAAGGACTTAATGATCTGTTAGGAGTCGTATCATTAAGAACCAGATCATGGCTTTCGACTAGGTCTACTACATTAGACTTCCTAATACTGTGGGACTTAACAGTAGGAGTGGTGTCTAGCAGTATAGTCTGCAGCCATTAGAACAGAGCTAGCATTAAGGTGGGTGGCAGCAATCTCGCTTACAACCTTAGTGTAACGCTAACTTCTAAATGATAGAAGACATAGAGGTTTCTTACATAAGGTTGACTTGACAGAGGAGGCAGGGGATCAAACACAAAGACTTTCTAAGTACAGTAAAATCTCGATAACACAATGGATAGCATCCCATAATTTCATATTGTGTTAACAAGATTATCGCGGTATCAAATACACGTGACTACGTTATCCAACTGTCCAAAGTGCCTTGAATGCCCTCATTTGCCTGCTTAACCTTGACAAGCTGCTCAAGCCGTTCTAAAGTTCTTAAATACTCCGTACTTAATACGCCACTATTCCCAGCCTCAAGAAACTCAATCAGAACTTGTGTGGCTTCTAAAGCTGACTGAGTTGTTGGCACAGGCAGCAAGACTTGCTCACTGCTTTCGTCATCATCTTGAGCTCCAGGATCCTCAACATCTTGAGTATAATGTGAAAGAACTTCTTGTAATGCCTCTTGATCTTGATCCTGCTCTCCACTACCGTGTATATTTTCTTCACTTGATTAAGGAAGTTTGCAATATCCATAGCGTCATGAATTTGCCCAGAGTTTCGTACTTGATTGTACAAGTTGTCTAGTGCTGGAAGAGATTGGATTGAAAGCTGTATTGGGTTTCGAAGCATTGTGCTTTTTCGGAAGCAGTTATATATTGTTGTATCTGTAACATCATGATGCCAGGACCGAAGAAGCCAGCGAATAGTGAAGTGTAAGTTAATAGAGTTGAAGGGATTCATGTTATTCTCAAATGCATTAAGCATGTATTCAAGCCACTGTCGATGGTAATGGGCTTTAAGGGAGGCAATAATACCTTGATCAAGGGTTGAAATCGACTTGTTGAGTTTGGAGGAAGCCAGAGAATTCGAATATTTGAAGGAGGTGGAGCTGCTTCAATAGCAGCAATATGTGCTGAGAAGTTGTCCATGGTAAGAAGTACACTCCTCGTTGTGCCGATATGTAAGTAAAAGGCTTGTAACCATTCAACCATAAGGAACTGATTCATCCAAGCTTTCTTGTTTGACTTCCAAACTCCTCCCATAGATCCTATGTTAACGTTTCGAAGAGCTCTTGGTGTTTTTGCATGCCCAATAAACCATAGAGGAAACCGATCTGATCCAGAAGCATTTGTACAAATAACAACAGTAATTCGAGCTTTGTTGTGCTTTCTTCCAGGTTGTCATACTGACATTCGTTGCACTCAGTTTGCTATCAAACTCAAGAGCAAACTTGGAAATCTCCTCCTCAAACCTACAAGTCACTATACATATTTTGGCTTATCACACCAACAACAAGAGCAATACTACTCAACGATTGCTACAACCATCTATGATTCATTACACGTCATCGCTCCTTAGTTACTGGGCCGATATTACCACATAGCATATCTCTACAACCCTCTATGATTCATTACATGACATCACTCATACTACCACATGACATATCTCTACCAACTAGAGGCCTAGGAGCATGAACGATAGCTCTAAAAGCTCCTACGAACCTCTATGATTCATTACATGTCATCGCTCTTTAGTTACCCACAAGATTGGTTAAGTTATGACATAATTTGTCTATGACATAATTTGTCTATGACATAATTTGTCTATAGGGGTGCTCTGACCTTGGACCTCCTTTTACTTCCTATAGGCTACGAACCTAAGATGGTTCTATGGGATTCTCTTACGTCAACTACAGTTACCAAGCCTGGTAAGTCATGGAAAGTCTTGGAAAATGAGAGAACTACACTCCTTTAGCATAAATAGGATTGCCCTTTCCTTAAGAAAGGGCAAGCAGACAATACAGTAAATCGACTATCACATACTTCCACGTCTTTTCCAAGCTTCCAAGCATTGATCTTGTTACTCCTTGTTTCTGAAAAGTCAGTGAGGTGTTAACCTCTGACTTACCCCTGAGTTCCCAGACTCAACATTTGTTGCAACTTGTCTGAACCACTTCACTACATCACACACCTGATTGCTGCGTTGTGGAATAGTCTAAGCTACGACCCTTTGGCTCTTTTTCCTAAGACAGTGTGTTGTCTTAGTAAATTCATCCCTTCCTTGGGTGGCTAGATTCTCACATCTGGTGCACCCACCATTACATCCTACACACCAGGCCAAAGCTTGTCAACCCAGAGACTTGTTAGAAATACCTTGAAGTCAGCCAGCAATCACGTCAGCCAGCAGCCGATTCGCCAGTGGTGTGGAGGATAGAGGGACGACGATGGAGGGTGCTGGATTGACACGTCAGTCGAGCTCAGAACGTGTCCAGACGCCGAAGGCGGTGGAATGGAACAAGAGGAGATCTATGTCACGGTTCACCAAGGCATAGGGCGCCAGTTGGGTATTATGAATTAAACTCAATCTAGAGAAGAAAGGAAAGAGAAGAGGAGCACTCGAGCAGTGGCTCGATCTATATACAGCTATTGTGGAGTGAATTCTCTTTAGCGAGACCATTCTGAGAATTCACTCCACAACTGAAAACTTCGCTCCAACCCCGGAAAGCTCCCCACACCCCTGAACCCCCACTCGAGCTGCAAGGCGCACTTGATATCGTAACAATCTAGGGCGATGTCAAGCAACTCAGAGGATACGATCGAAGTAATTGAGACGGCATCCGCGGTGCTGCAATCGAAACGACTGGAGATCAGCTCGCACTTCAAAGAACGTATCGTGGCGACGAAGGTTAAGGCCCTCGCCGCGAAGTCAGGAGAATGTCCTTCAACGACAGCTGCAGCACCAAATCAATGGGGCCATGAGAAGGCGATCTCTGCCACTGCACAGCTCAAAATGCTGACCCAGCTGGTCACATTACTGCTGAAGGCAATGGAGGAGCAGAAACAGGAACATGCAGCCCAAATGCAAACACTCACGAAAACGTTCACCCAACAGATTGATGCACTCAAAGCAGAGGTCACGGAAATGACGGAAAAGATTCAGACCTGGCTATCCGATATCCAAGCATCTAGCCCCTCCCCATCATACGCAGAGGTTGCTCGCACACCACCGAACAGCTTGCTGAGCAACGTACGAACCCTCTCATCGATGGGAACCATGCCGTCCAAAATAACTGACACGCTGTACTGTACAATTGCTTCAAGAGTTGGGGGAAAAAGAGAGGAACAATGTATTTAAGGACGATCCACCACATTAAGAGGTGGATCGTCCTTAAATACATACATGAGAATTAATGGAACGTACTTATCACAACTTGCATTAGCAGTGTGAGCTTTGTCAATGACATCAGTAGTCGTGGCGGTATTTCGCTTCTTGGGTAAGCCCATCTTCTTGTAATAGTCGTCATTTGCATCTCGGATCTTCTCGAAGGCCAGTTTGCGAAACACGGGACATCCATCGATCTCAACATGATGTACTAAACTCCCGCACCGAGTGAATTCCTTGTGGCAGCTGCTGCAGATCAGACTCTGGTCGGGTGGATGCGCCTGAAGCTGTCAGTATGGTTATAGAGGAGCTGGGGAGGTCCAAACCTGGCGTTGATGGGTCTGTTTACCCTCCTCAGACTGAAATTCTTGCCCACAAGTAGCACAAGCGTGTGGATGATTACCGCTCACGATCATGTGTCTGATATAGGCTTGCCAATCGTCAAACTCCTGATCGCATTGAACGCAGACCTCGGTTTGTTGTGCAGGAGTCGCTATAGCAGTAGAATATTGAGAAGAAGATGATCGGGGCAGTTGTGGTGGTGTAGAGGGTGAGTATGGTGCAGAATATTGTGACAAGGAAGACGGTTGGGGTAGTTGTGATGATATATAGAGGTTGAGTGCGGGTGCAGAAGGCCAATATCATGACAACGTAGAAAGGAATATGTGAAGAGAAAGAAAGGTAGATTGGGAATTTGAAGCAGCGTGAAGGTGTAGAAGATGAAGAAGGTAAAGAAGGTGAAGAAGGTGACGATAAAAACAGATTGTAGGTGATGTGTTTTGATAAGGAAGATGCTTGGAGTAACTGAGGTCAAACAGGTTGCAACTAAGCGCGACAACGCGACATTCGCCTGTTTATGGCACAAGTTCACATGGGATAATAGGCCAACCAGGACAAAGAAATTGTCGTAAGCCTGAATGAATTCGGTGTCAAGCTTCCATGTCTCTCTTGCCTCAGGCTTGCCACAGGCGTTGCTCGATATCAGTCGGCGCCCAAGGAGCAGCGCTCGTTGCACCTTAAATTCATTTGTTATACAGTACATCAACCGCAGCGCCAAAGTGTCAGAGCCGTTTACTATAGGTCGTGTGTTAAAAGAAGTTCAGAGCATGGAAGAAGTTCAGAGTGTTAACAGTTACGTGAACTAATATGTAGTTCACGTAACTGTTAACACAGAGAGAATGAAGGCTGGGCAAAGCAGTGGAGTTCTACACCTTCTGATAGAATAGCTTTCCAAAGACATGACATGGGGCAAGATGCGTGTGAATTAACACTGGTATAACACTGGTATATCCCGCTGCTACTACACGAAAGCTCATGACGGGATTTCAACGTCGATAAGACATTGGGAGGAGGCTCAAAGTTGGAACTACTTAGTCTGGTGTTCAAAGGCAGGCTTAGTCCACATCAACAAGAGGCCCTGTAATCAATCGGACGGGTGGAAAGACGTTTTCTCGTCAATCATCAACGTGGGAAAGCCCGCGATTCTCGGATTGTAGGGCAAAGAGCCGTTTATCATTGTCTATCATCATCATCGTCGCCATCGTCGTTGTAATCGTAATCGTGATATGGTAGCCTCGTCACCAGTGGGCATCGGGGGTTCAGGAAGAACGATCCACCGGAGCAGTCAGAAAGGCGATTGAGGAGGAGATCTGCACCACGAAAGGACAGGAGAATTGGCGCTGCATAGCGGTGATTAAGGACGCCAGGAACTTGGATCGCATCAGGATAACATGCAGAGGAAACGGAACTTCAAAGGGTTAAGAAAGCAGCAGAGAAGACTGCGGTAATGGGCGTTAGGGTGCTACAGGACCAATTATACCCCGTGAAGGTGGATAATGCCAACCGAATAGCCATTCTTGATCAGGAGGGAAAGGTGCTACTTGGGGCTGCAGAGGTTCTTGGGAAAGAGAACGACATGCACATAGCCAAGATCACATGGCTTAGCAGAAAAGACACGGCAAAGGCATACGGATCGATGGTGGTCTATGTCACAAAAGGCAGCGAAGCGGCACAACTGTTACAAGACCAATACTTCCATGTTGCAGGAGAGTCAGCCTACACCAGGGTTTTCGAGCCGCGATACGGCCCGCCAAAATGCTATAGATGTCAGGAAACAGGGCACAAGGCATACTCGTGCACGCAACCACAAATCTGTGCTAAGTGTGCTCAAAGAGGACATCACCATAGTGAGTGTCATGCAGTGATACCGAAATGCGTGTCATGCGGAGGACCACACGAATCGCTCAGCGGGAACTGTAGAGTGTCTCACAACTCTCAGGATGCATAGTACTCTACAGGTACTCCAACTGAACGTCCGGAAGCAGGATACGGTGCAGCATAGCCTCATGAATGACGATCAACTGAGGGAATTTGCAGTGATAGCGATATCTGAACCGTACGCATGGACAATCGACAACACAACGACCACTGTCCCTATAGGCCAGCCAAACTGGACAAAGATGACGCCACAGTCCAGCGACAGGAAAGCTGGGCTTTTTGAAGCATGCTCTGGATCCGGAGGGACATCGAAGCAGAACAGGTACCAGCAATATTGCGACTGCCAGATCGGTTGATACTCATCGTGTCAGTGTACGTTGAAGGGCAGGATGAGGAAGCACTCCGAGACACAACTAGCAACTTACACCAACTTATTCAGGAAACACGCAATGTGATCGGCACCCGAGTGTAATGGTGGGTGCACCAGATGTGAGAATCTAGCCACCCAAGGAAGGGATGATTTTACTAAGACAACACACTGTCTTAGGAAAAAGAGCCAAAGGGTTGTAGCTTAGACTATTCCACAACGCAGCAATCAGGTGTATGATATAGTGGAGTGGTTTAGACAAGTTGTAACAAATGTTGAGTCTGAGAACTTAGGGATAAGTCAGAGGTTAGCACCTCACTGACTTTTCAGAAACAAGGAGTAACAAGATCAATGCTTGGAAGCTTGGAAAAGACGTGGAAGTATGTGATAGTCGATTTACTGTATTGTCTGCTTGCCCTTTCTTAAGGAAAGGGCAATCCTATTTATGCTAAAGGAGTGTAGTTCTCTCATTTTCCAAGACTTTCCATGACTAACCAGGCTTGGTAACTGTAGTTGACGTAAGAGAATCCTATAGAACCATCTCCTAGGTTCCTAGCCTATAGGAAGTGAAAGGAGGTCCAAGGTCAGAGCACCCCTATAGACAAATTATGTCATAACTTAACCAATCTTGTGGGTAACTAAGGAGCGATGACGTGTAATGAATCATAGAGGGTTGTAGAAGCTTTTGGAGCTATCGTTCATGTTCCTAGGCCTCTAGTTGATAGAGATATGTCATGTGTGGAGGAGAACTCCCTACACAATGGAGAAATGCTAAGATCATACCACTGAAGAAGCCTAACAAGGGAGACTACACAGTCGCAAAGGCGTGGAGGCCGATCTCACTGCTCTCCACACTTGGAAAGACACTGGAGTCTGTGGTTGCTGAAACAATATCGCACGCAGTGGAGACGTTTGGTCTGCTCCCCACGAACCACTTTGGGGCCAGAAAGAAACGCTCTGCTGAACAGGCACTCCTGCTGCTGCAGGAACACATCTACAATGCCTGGAGATCAAAGAAGGTCCTTAGCTTGGTTAGCTTCGATGTGAAGGGCGCATACAATGGGGTGTACAAGGACAGATTGTTGCAGAGACTCGCAGCTAGAGGCATTCCGGCGGCTCTAGTACGGTGGATTGATGCCTTCTGCTCAGAACGCATGGCAACCATCCTAGTCAATGGCCACACCTCTCAACAACAGCCACTGCCACAGCAGGCCTACCGCAAGGGTCGCCACTTTCACCAATATTGATCCTCTTCTTCAATGCCGACTTGGTTCAACACAAACTGACTACAAGTGGGGGATCAATGGCATTTGTAGACGATTACAGCGCATGGGTCACGGGGCCATCACCAGAAGCGAATCGAGAAGGGATCCAGGCCATAATCGACAGAGCGATGGACTGGGAGAGACGAAGTGGGGCCACATTTGAAGGGGAGAAGACTATACTAGTACACTTCACTAGGCGCGCGGAACACCATTCACGATTAAAGGGGAATCAGTCACACCAAGCAACACAGCAAAGATCTTGGGTGTAGTCATGGACACGGAGCTCCGCTACAAGCAGCACATTGCAAAGGCAGCAACTAGAGGTCTCCGTGCTGCCATGGCTTTAAGACGACTGCGGATGGTGTCTCCCTCTACTGCGAGACAACTGTTTAGGGCAACGGTAGCGCCAGTGGTGGATTACACCTCCAATGTCTGGATGCATGCATGTGGATGGAAAACAATGCCCTCTATGAACAGGGTCCAAAGTATTGGAGCACAAGCAATCACAGGAACTTTTCGGACAGTGGCGACGGCCATAGCGGAAGCTGAGGCTAGCATACGGACAGTACACGAACGGCACGCTGAAAGGGCAACAAAACTGTGGGTTAACCTCCGTACGTTGCCTACGACAAACCCGCTCTCGAAGCTAGGCACCAGAGTATTCCAGAGATTCACCTCCCCACTACAGAAGATAGCCAGCAGGCACCAACAGACACCAACAGATCAGATGGAGGTCATCCAACCCTACGTGGTGGCTCTGTGGGAGGATCGATTGCTTACGACTATCGAGCTGGACAGGGAGAAGGCAATAGAAGCCGCCAATTCTGCCGTAGGCATACAGATCGCAACAAATTCGTCCGTGAGGAAAGGCATAGTTGGGATGGGGGGAGCAATTCAAGACACCTCCAGCAATACAACCAACAGAGGGCCTGCCACATACTCGATCACAGTGGGAACAAGAACTGAACAAAATCCATACACAGCTGAGTTGGCAGCGATAGCAATGGCGATGAGATGCCTGCCGCTAGGTCTCCTAGGGAGGCAGATCACCATATTTACCAGCAGTCAGGGCGCGCTACTTGCTCTGAGCAAGCCTCAGCATCAGTCCGGTCAAGGCAGTATTA